TTCCATTTTTTCCAGTGCTTCCCAACACCAATGTAAGAATAAAAAGGAGTCATCTGTGTGCCTAATGACAAGGGGTGGGGCCAACACCAAAGATCTGTGCTCCTAGGACTCGAAGGTGCCAGGGGCACCCAGCTAAGCTACACCAGTTTCCTAACTGGTGAGGTAAAAAAAGTCTCTTGTTTTAAGCCACCAAATCTGGGGGGTAATTTGTTACCAAACAATAGGTGCCTAATGTCTCATCACTCTGTAGGAAGACTTGTTCTAGACAGCGGAATGGAGTCCATCTGAGCGGAGACCTGGCAGCGCTCAGAATGAGGAGTGTGTGAGTGCGCTGCGTGGGCGCAGCATGGGCCCGGAGGCACCACAGCTGGCTCGTCAGTGCCCTCCTGTTAGGACTTCTAAAACAGACTTCACAGAAGTGACAAGATGTGGTCCCTCCACTTTTTTAGATGCTTCCAATTCCCATTTCATCGTGACGGCACCAGGTCTGAGTAGCAGTATTTCTAGACGTCAGATTCCTCACCAGTCGGCTGCCTGTCCAAGTGACGGGGCCACCTGCCGGCGAGGTGATGGCAGCCTTCCCAGCAGCTGCTGCCCTTGCTTTTGCGTCTTTGAGCCAGCTGGGCTTCGCATACAAACATCTGAACTTTAATCAGAACTGCTCTCCCCCAGGACTGGGGAAAGCCGGCTTACAACTTCTCTCTGCTCCAAGGAATGACTTTTCCCCCCACTGAGTGGGTGGTGGTGACTTGATTAAAATCTGCCATCAGGTGTTTGCTGACTCATTTGTCCTTCCATCTGTTTGTCTCTTTAGTAACCGTCCCTCAAGGGTGAGACACCTTGGGTGCTCTGACCACACCCTTTAACAGAAGTCAGGTTTTGACAAATCCCAAGACATTCCTGCAGGCGGCAAGTATTTAAATAACTTTTGTTTTCTTTCAAGCACTGTTATTACTGTGCATTTCAATTTTTCAGTAGGTTTTTAATTTTTTAAAAAAATTATTTGAAAGAGAGGGAGTTATCTTCCATCTGTTGCTTCACTCCCTAGATGGCCACACCAGGGGCTGAGCCAGGCTGGAGCCAGGAGCTTCTTCCAGGTCTCCCACCTGGGTAGCAGAGGCCCTAATACTTGGACCATCTTCTGCTGCATTTTCCAGGCCATTAGCAAGGAGCTGGATCAGAAGTGAGGCAGCTGGGACTTGAACAGGCACCCAGTAGGTTTTTAAGAGGCCAGCACTGTGGTATAGTAGGTTAAGCTGCGTGCCACCTGCAGTGCCAGCATCCCATTTGGGTGCCAGTTCTAGTCTTGGCTGCTCCACTTCCAATCTAGCTCTCTGCTATGGCCTGGGAAAGCAGTGGAAGATGGCCCAAGTACTTGGGTCCTTGCACTCACGTGGGAGACCTGGAAGAAGCTCCTGGCTCCTGGCCTCAGACTGGCACAACTCTAGCCGTTGTGGCCATCTGGGGAGTGAACCAGTGGATGGAAGACCTCTCTCCCTCTCTGCCTCTGCCTCTCTGTAACTCTTTCAAATAAATAAATCTTTTCTTTTAAAGATTTAAAATTTTTTAAATTTAATTTTTTAAAATAAAATATATTCATTTGAAAGTTTTTAAATTTTTTAAATTTTAATTCAAAAAGACTTATTCATTTGAAAGAGTTACACAGAGAGAGAAGGAGAGGCAGAGAGAGAGGTCTTCCATCTGCTGGTTCACTCCCCAAATGGCTGCAACTGCCGGAGCTGTGCCGATCTGAAGCCAGGAGCCAGGAGCTTCTTCTGGGTCTCCCATGTGGGTCAGGGGCCCAAGCACTTGGGCCATCTTATACTGCTTACCCAGGCCATAGCACAGGTGGGATCGGAAGTAGAGCAGCCGGGACTCGAACTGGCACCCATATGGGATGCCGGCACCAGAGGCGGCAGCTTTACCCGGTACGCCGCAGTGCTAGCCCCTTAAATAAATCTTTAAAAAATTAACTTGATCCTCTCAAAAGTTTCATTAGAAAAGAGTTTGCGTGTTATGCATACATCTGTGTGGCCATGGCACATTCATCTCTTTAACGTCAAGTCATCCCTGTTCTGTGGGTGTAGGTGCCTATGGCTTATGCCCCGTCCTAGGCCCCCTGACTGGGGCGACCTGCTCCTTGGAACAGAAACATGCAGGAGCAGTCCTCTGTTCAAGCGTGGAGGAAATGCAGTTACCTTTTTCTTCCTCTGATGAAGAACCCATTTCCACTGACAGGTGATTCCAAGAGAACTTTCCACAGAAGCTGAGCAGTTAGTTTATGGCATTTTCTGCAGTCTGTGGGTCATGAAGTCCCTGATGCCCAGTGAAGAGGACTGACTCCTGACTGAGATCCAGTTGGTCTTAAATGATCTTCAGAATAGCAGGCTGAGCTGCGCCACTGTCATAAATCACAGATTTTAAGACTTGTCCCTCCCCACCCCACCCCAGCATTTTAATACAGCTGTCCATCAGTGCCTACAGCGGGTTGTGCATACTACAATCTCAAGACCCTTACATAAAATGGTGTTCTATTTGCATATACCTATGCATATCCTTCTGTTGTACTAAAATATCTAGTATAGTATCTACTAAATGTCACACAAATGGTTGTTACACTGTATTGCTTGGAGAAAGATGACAAAAGTCTCCCCACAGTGCAAGCCTAATCAGGTGGGGTACGTCTGGCCCAGTGAAGGCAACCCTAGGCAGGACTGGAAACTCAGTTCATCTGTAGCAAGCTACTTTTTTTTTTTTTTTGACAGGCAGAGTGGACAGTGAGAGAGAGAGAGAGAGAAAGGTCTTCCTTTGCCGTTGGTTCACCCTCCAATGGCCGCCGTGGCCAGCGCGCTGCGGCCAGCACACCGCGCTGATCCGATGGCAGGAGCCAGGAGCCAGGTGCTTTTCCTGGTCTCCCATGGGGTGCAGGGCCCAAGCACCTGGGCCATCCTCCACTGCACTCCCTGGCCACAGCAGAGAGCCGGCCTGGAAGAGGGGCAACCGGGACAGAATCCGGCGCCCCGACTGGGACTAGAACCCGGTGTGCCGGCGCCGCTAGGCGGAGGATTAGCCTAGTGAGCCGCGGCGCCGGCCAAGCTACTTTTTTTTAAGTTTATTTGACAGAATTATAGACAGACAGAGACAGACAGATCTTCCTTCCGCTGGTTCACCCCCCAAATGGCTGCTACAGCTGGAGCTATACTGGTCCGAAGCCAGGAGCCAGGTGCTTCTCCTGGTCTCCCATGCGGGTGCAGGGGCCCAAGCACTTGGGCCATCCTCCACTGCACTCCCAGGCCACAGCAGAGAGCTGGACTGGAAGAGGAGCAACCGGGACTAGAACCCGGCGCCCATATGGGATGCCTGCACCGCAGGCAGAGGATTAACCAAGTGAGCCATGGCGCCGACCCAGCAGACTGTTTTTTAAGTTGATAATTTTGTGTGGACCACAAATGATGTTATAAATATCCAAATGGCCCTTGGCAAAAAAAAGGTTCCCTGCTCCTCTAAGTTTATACTACATGTGAGCAACAACGTAGCCCATTTTGTGTACTTCCAATCCCAGGTTGGTTCATTCTGCAGCTGCAGAGGGGCCAACTACCTGCAGTATAGGTTTCTGTGATATTATCTTACATCAGATGTAGTTGGGCAAATACCAACTTTTTTTTTTAAGATTTATTTGTTTACTTGAAAGAGAAGGAGAGGCAGAGACAGAGAATCTTTCATCCACTGGTTCACCCCCCAGTTGGCTGCAACAGCTACAGCTGTGCTGATCTGAAGCCAGGAGCCTCCTCCAGGTCTCCCACGTGGGTGTAGGGGCCCAAGCACTTGGGCCATCTTCTACTGCTTTCCCAGGCCACAGCAGAGAGCTGGAATGGAAGAAGAGCAGCCAGGACTCAAACTGGTGCCCAAAGGGATGCCGGCACTATAGAAGGCTTTACCTGCTACTCCACAGCACTGGCCAACAAATATGAGTTTTACACAGTTCAGAAGCAGTGATTCAAATGTAGTGATCCTTTGCAAGAGGTTACTTTCCTGTGAAGCTTAGTCTTCCTGTGTTTCTGTGGGCATCGTGTTTAGCACTCAGTGTGATGCAGAGGTTCCTGGGACCGGTGCTGTGGGATACCAGGTAAAGCTGCCACCTACAGTGCCAGCGTCCCATATGGGCGCTGGTTCGGGTCCTGGCTGCTCCACTTCTGATCTAGCTCTCTGCTGTGGCCTGGGAAAGCAGTGGAAGATGGCTCAAGTACTTAGGTTCCTGCACCAGCATGGGAGACCCAGAGGAAGCTCCTGGCTTCAGATTGGTGCAGCTCCTGCTGTTGCAGCCAACTGGGGAGTGAACCAGCAGATGGAAGACCTCTCTCTCTCTCTCTCTCTCTGCCTTTCAAATAAATAAATAAAGCAGAGGTTCCTGATCTGTGACAAAGGCAGAGATGGCAGCAGCTGGCCACGGGAGCCTGAGCTGCTTGGTTAGGACCTCCTTGGAAGGTTCAAGGCTGGTGTTTTCTATTGGTGTAGGTCAGAGCCTAAAGTTAAGCACCTTTTCATACTATGGAAGAAAAAAAAAATCTGTATTTTTGGTAAACAGTGCTGTTTCAAGAGCTGGCGTTTAGTTTAGTGGTTAAGCTGGCCATGTTCCACATCACTGTTCCTGGGTTTGATTCCTGGCTCCTGCTTCCTGCCAGTGTGTGTGCACCCTGGGAGGCACAGTGATGGGTCAAGTAGTTGGGTTCCTGCCACCCATGTGGGAGACACAGACTAAGCTCCCAGCTTTGACCCTGGCTGTTGTGGGCATTTAGGGAATGAACCAGTGATGGGAGCTTTATCTGTTTATCTCAAAACAAAAAAAAAGCAGCAGCTGAGTTACATGACTCAGTGTTCACATTGAGCTGAAACTGGATTGGCTGTGATGTTTTCTAGGATTATGATATTCTGTTTGTACTTTCATATTTTTCAGCTTCCAAATCACTACACAGATTACAGGTTCAATAGAGCATGCATGCTTCTATAAAAATACGTTTTATTAACAAAATGGGCCACACTATAAAAGGCAGTTGAAAGTTCAAATTACTGCTTTTTGGGAGATTCTTTCTTATTGGGTAGAGCACTGGAGACAGGTAAGGAGAACATCATCAAAGACTGCTTCCCCTGTATGAAGCCAGTGAGCCATGAAGATACAGCCACATCGGGCAGCATCTTTCTGCTTCCCCACCCACCACTAGCGTCGCGGGAAGCAGCTTGTCAACTACTGGAATCCTCAAGAATGTCGGAGCTGAGAAGCAAACAAATCTAAAGTTTAGAGGGGAACGTTCTTGCTGACACACAGCTAGGGAGGCTGGCCAGATCCAGGCCGTCATTCCAGATCATTTTGTTGAGCGATACCTCTTTGTTCCTTGATGACACTGTAAAGACAGGGCCAACGGCCTTTCACTCCTTTCCTCTGCGCAGTCACCGTGAAGGGCTGCAGGAGTTCGGGGAAGTAGAAATGGCTCAAGTGTCCCACTCAGAACTTCTGTAAGAACTTGAGGACAAGGTCCCTCAGTCGCACCCTGAGCATCTCATCATTGTCACAGATGATATGGGTTGAATCTTCTTCAATCTGGATGAGCGTCTCAGCTTCCTGCAGCAGGACAATATGGCCCTTGGCTGTGTCTTCCACCTTGATATCACTGAAGCCATGCTGCACCGAGAGAAGAGAAAGAGGAGGGGCTGATGGGAAAGGCATGACCGGATGACCCAACTGTGGCTTCTAAAATGGCATTTCTAGACTCCACTCAGTATTGTAGAAACTGGCATGCTCAACCCTCCTCAAAAACTCGTGGTTCTAGTAACATGGCCTGCTGCAGCAATACAAGTCACCCATCATTCATACACTTTAACAAGTGTCCCCAAACATGCGAGATCTCACACAAAGCACTACCAGAATTTCCCCACCTGCTGTGAAGTATCTGAGGAACACACAGGCACCAGTGTTCAGGAATCTGGGACCAGAGGGCTGTTCCCCTCCTCCGCCCGAAGCTCACGTTCCCCGGGATGAAGGCTCCATCCGAAGTCTCAGCTGCTCTTAGCTCCCATGAAAATGCCATTTCTCATAAAGACACCAGTGGCGTGGGGACGGGGATAAGGCATCCTAGCAAACACTTCTCTATCTCTAATGCTAATTGCACACTTTTCTTAAGGTGAAAAAGTGGAAAAAAGTTGCCTGAAAGGGACACAGAACAGGTACAAAGCCTTGCTGTAGGGAGGTTGTCTCCTCTTAGTTATGGAAAGTTCTCATGTGGTTTTGGACAGGTACTGACATTCTTGCTGCAGTAAGATGAGGCATATCCAAAGTCAGGACCTAGAGACCAATGCCTTGGATGAGCCAAGCAGAACTAAATAAAGGTCTTTCTGGGAAAGCAAGTTGTTCAAAGTTTTTCAAAAATAAGTCCAACTTGAGGTCCATCAATAGGGCCCAGGAGCCCTGTCAGGTCACAAGGAAGGCGGGGCCATGATCACCTGTGCAGGACCCTGGTACAGGATCACCTGTGGTGGGAAGGTGGAGGAGACCTGTACACCCTGGCCGAGGCCTGCCCTTTGGGCGAGTCTTCAGACAAATGGAGAAAACCAAGCCCAACAAAGAAAGCCTTTAGGATGTGAAAGAAGTTGGTAAGTGAGATACTTAGTTTGGACAAAAGGTGCTTATTAATAGGTGAGTAGCAGATGATCTTGTAATCATTTGTTAGTTGCAGCTCTTCCAAAACAAAACATTAATGGTAGCACCTCGCTAGCCAGTTGCTCCTTCCTGTCCAGGATTCTCTAATCCTAATGCTAAAATTCTGACTGCTGAAGTCCTGCTGAAGCAGAATCACACAGACCTTTAAGGTTGGATTTTTACAATTTAATCGCAGTCAAGAGAAGCAGCCACTGACACAGAGGGAAGAACGAGTGTCCTCCCAGGTAATCCCCTTCGTACTGGTCTTCCAAAACCATCAGTGAACTGCAGGAACCTTTTCCCAACTTCCTAGGGATCTAGCAAGACAATTTCCCCCAAAGTGAGTTCTCCTGTGACAGCAAGGGGTCTAGGAAGGTGCGGCCCGCGGGGACGGAGTATCCTGGCCTTTCCTACTCCGTCCTGTTTGTCACATCTGTTTTTGAAGAAAGTCTTGTTCTTCAAGCCGGTTCCCATAGGAAACAGGTTTGGGGAGGCATTCTCCCAGCTGCCTACCAGATGCAAGGATGGGCTGGTGGAATCAACGGGGGAGCCACTGGAGAGGGACAGCGTCCTCAGCTCAGGGCTCTGTAAGCCTCTCGCTGCAGGACCCTGGAACAAGCACACGCCAGACAGCAGCGTGGACAGTGGGGACTCCATGTTCCTGGAAGCCAGGAGGAGACCATGAACGAGATAAAGGACTTCACTCAGGGCAGCGGTGCACGCTCACCTTCTCCAGCGTCTGCACAAACTGCTCCACGGGGATGGAGCCGCTCAACAAAGGCTTCAAAGCTTTGCAGTCCGGCACGTCCTCAGTCACCCGTTTTCTCTTCTTACCACTGGTGGGCTGCGCGGGCCTGGGAGGGGGCTAGAGCAGGATGAAAGGATGGTTCGGTGAGAGGGGCGGCGGCCCGGGCCAGGCACTGGGAACCTGCAGCAGTCCACCCTGTCCCGTGAGTGCCTCTCGGAACCAGAAGCTGCCAGGGCCCCAGGCAGCGCGGTTATCTGTGGTGTGGAAAACCAGCTGGAACCTGAGTTCAGGTTCACTATCAGCTGGGGGCTCTACCTAGAGTCCAACCAACACCACACACAAAACTACCCACATGGAGTGCTATCTTCTGTGGCTAGGCTCTCTGCCTTTTATCAAGAGCCATATTTGGATTCAAGTCAGTATTTTCTGTGTCATTGTTTTAATAAACTTTTGGGGCAGACTGATGGGAAAAAATCCTAGTTTGGGTACTTTTGTCAAGAAACCGAAGGTCAGAGATGCTGCCTGTTGGGAGAGAATCTTGTGCACGTTAAGGACCTGTCCAGTGTTTGCCATCTGTCAGCCCCTTTCTCAGGGCCCCACATCTAACAGTCCACACCTGAGAACCCTCCTGCAGGGTCAAGGGCCCACATCTGCACTGCGTGTCAGTCAGTGCCGCAGGCACGTGTGCGGGTCATCTGCGCCAGGCTCTCAGGCCTTCACGCATCTCTGCTCGTGCTGGGGTGGGCAGCATCTGTCACTTTTCATGCCCCCCCCCCCAGCATCCTGCTCAAGTGGCAGCGCGCGTGGGAGCCTGAGAAATGCCCCTCTAGGAACGCGCCACAGAGGCTGCGGGCGATGCTCACGCTCCCAGAGCTGTGAACAGTGCGCAGGGCGAGACGCAGCCGCTTCGCCAGGAGTGACCCGCTCTGCTCTGCTCTCTCTGCTCTGCTCTCTCTGCTCCGCTCTGCTCTGCTCTGCTCTGCTCTCTCTCAGGCCTGTGGCCAGAGAAGCAGTAAAGGCCTCACATGAAGCACCCTCTGTCAAACATAATCGAGTGCCTCAGTCTGCAGGGTCTCCTGGTTTGGGAAGTGACGTCCTGGGAGCAGCTGAGATACCAGGTTGTTTCTGGGGGCGGGGAGTGTCCAGTTGTCCCATCCCTCTCGACTCCCACCCTGCAGCACCTGCTCGTACCTGGAGAACGTGCTTGTTATCCTTCGTGTGCAGCACGGCTGAGACGGTTGCCAAGGAAATGCCAGGCTTGATCTCCATGGGCACCAGGGAGTCTGCGAGCTGAAAGCAAACAGTGGGGTTTGAGGTGGGCGCGCATACAGTGGGAGGGCAGGAGGTGCTGAGCTGCGGGCCAGTAGTTTATGAGGCCACCTGGGGCATGAGCCCCGCCCTTCGTAGTGCAGATCCAGGATGGCAACAGTGGGCCCAAGGGCCCCCCATTCTCACAGCAGCTTGTGCCTGCCCAGCCCCTGGGAAAGAACCGACTACTGAGGAAGCCAAGTCTTTCATGATTACCACAGTCCATTTTCTTTTACTTTGAAATTTTTAAAAAGTTAAAATTTTAAATAAAAAACACATCAAACACACACAGTCCCTCTACCAGTCGATCAAAACAGGAGGGAAGGAGCCAGCGCTGTGGTGTGCGGGTAAAGCTACCACCCGCAACACCAGCATCCCGTATGGGCGCAGGTTCATGTCCCGGCTGCTCTATTTTCTGTCTAGCTCCCTGCTAATGCACCTGGGAAAGCAGTGAAGATGCCCAAGTCCTTGGGCCCCTGCACCCACATGGGAGACCTGGAAGAAGTTCCTGGCTCTTCGCTTCAGCCTGGCTCATCCCTGGCTGTTGTGGCCATCTGGGGAGTGAACCAGAGGATGAGAGGATGGAAGACCTCTCTGTCTCTCCCGCTTCCTCAGTAACTGACTCTCAAATACATAAATAAGTCTTTTTTTTTTTTTTTTTTTTTTTAAAAAAAAAAAGGAGCTAGGGTGGTGGCCAAACTAGGCTGGAAAGGGAGAAACCAACCTAGCTGACCCGTCTTCCCAGGACCATCCATCTGCTGGGAGCTTTTCCTGAGCTCGGAGCAGACACCACCCAGGGCAGCCTTGTGCCACTGCAAGCTCCATCTCCTTTTTGTTGGTTACCCTAAAAATGAGACCACCTGAAGGGCCAGAGCCACGCTGCCATCTTTCAAGAGGCTTCCAGCCAACTCTCCAAACCCTTTTACAAGTGAGATGTCACTCCAGTTAGAATGGCTGTTGTCAAAAAGACAAAAAATAACAAATGCTAACAAGGCAGTGGAGACAAGGAACCTGATACTCTGCTGGTGAGAATGCAAATTAGTACAGCCAAACGGGGAACAGTGTGGAGGTTCCTGACAACACTAAACGTAGATCTACCATATGGCCCAGGGAATGTATCTGAAGGAAAGGACATCAGCATAGGGAGGAAATACCTGCCTCCCAGTTTATTACAGCGTTATTCACAACGGCCAAGATACGGAATTCAGTGGCTGAACGGATAAAGAACGTAAACACACACTGGAATATTGCTCAGCCATAAGAAAGAATGAAACCTTGCCATTTGCAGCAAAATGGATGGAACTGGAGTTCACTATGCTAAGTGAAATAAACCAGACACAAACACCATGTTTTCTCTTGTATGTGTAAGTTTAAATATATAAATGTGGTCAATATAAAAATCTAAGATACTGACTGCTGGATGCAGGAGACAGGGAAGGGTGGGAGTTTGGGAGGAATTGGATAACGAGCACCAACACACAGCTGGGTGAGGGTACTGGGTTCCAGTGTTCCACAGAACTATAGGGTAACTACAGTTTGCAATAAGTGAAATCAAAGTTAATTTCCCAGTATGATTGGCTTATGCTATGGCTGTCTTAAAATATTGCACTGAGAGGCCAGTGCTGTGGCGCAGCGGGTTAAAGCCTGGGCCTGCAGCGCTGGCATCCCATATGGGCACTGGTTCGAGTCTCAGCTGCTCCACTTTTTTTTTTTTTTTTGACAGGCAGAGTGGACAGTGAGAGAGAGAGACAGAGAGAAAGGTCTTCCTTTGCCGTTGGTTCACCCTCCAATGGCCGCCGCGCTGATCCGAAGGCAGGAGCCAGGTACTTCTCCTGGTCTCCCATGGGGTGCAGGGCCCAAGCATTTAGGCCATCCTCCACTGCCTTCCTGGGCCACAGCAGAGAGCTGGCCTGGAAGAGGGGCAACTGGGACTAGAACCCGGAGTGCTGGCGCCGCAGGCGGAGGATTAGCCTATTGAGCTGCTCCACTTTCAATCCAGCTCTCCGCTATGGCCTGGGAAAGCAGAAGGTGGCCCAAGTCTTTGGGGCCCTGTACTGGCATGGGAGACCCAGAAGAAGTTCCTAGCTCAGATTAGCTCAACTCTGGCCATTATGGTTATTTGGGCAGTGAACCAGTGAATGGAAGACCTTTCTCTCTCTCTCTCTGGCTCTTCCTTTCTCTGTAACTCTTTCAAATAAATAAATCTAAAAATAAAAATACTACACTGAATGCCATAAAACTGTACAAGTCTTCATGTTAATCAAAAATGAAAGCAAAAGCCCTTTCACAGTGTCTCTTAAAAACCTATCAGAGCTTTCCCTCACTCAAAATATGCACCGTGTGCAGAGTTTTCATCCTTCTGGCCTCTAGCTCATCTTCATCTGCCCGCCGGATGACTAATGCCAGGTGGAAAGGCAGAGACAGAGGCGCTGGGATTGCGGAGCTCAGTTTCCCGGTGGTGGAACACACAGCCTGTACACGTGCGGCTGTCTTTCCCACTACCTGAGCCAGGCGTGTACCTTTTTTCCTGGCACCGCAGTGAGCTGGAACCTCCCCAGCAGCCCTGCCTCCTGGGTCAGCCAAACGTGGTTCTTACAGACCTCTACCGACTTCACTTAAGAACAACAATATACAAGGTGTCATTAAGCAAACACAGTGATCAGCATCACAGGGCAGATGATGCCGTCTGGACACTGAAACAGACTGGCGAGTTGTGCTTGAGGACTTTCACGAAGCAGGAAAGCGCACGCGGAGTAAGTGGGAAGTGATCCTTCCTGGGAGGGCAGGTGCCGGGCTGTGCCTCCCCCGCCCCATAAGAACACTCCCCCTCCCTCTCTGTCCTACCACCACTCCTTTCACAGGTCAGGCTGGCATGGGAGGTCTGGGGACGACATTACAGGAATCAAGTAGGTGAGACGCTCTCCCTGGGCAGCCAGGAACACTTTCTAAGAAGACTCTGAAGGTGGGCAAACTGTCAGCTGGCAGTTCTGCCAGAAGGGAAATCAGCCCAGAGCCCAGAACAACACAGGTCAGCTCAGGTGCCTCTGGGAGGGAGGAGCACTGACCAGCCATCCTGGGAGAATTTCTTATCACAAGGCCCATGAGGCCTGACATCTCAGATCTCTTACTTTGCATGTGGACAGACTGACCTTGAACCCAGACACTCAGATATGGGTGTGAGTATCTCAACTGGTTATCTTAACATCTAGGCCAAACCCATCCCTGCACTGTCCTTCGAGAATCATTCTCTAACTTCCCATGATGGGGAATCAACAGAGAGCAATCAGAGGACAATGTAGATGTGGGAGGGCCAAAACAGTGGAGCTCAGCTTTAGTTTGCTGCCTCTGCCTGGCAGCTGTGGAAGGCTGTGGAGGAGGAAGGGTGGAGGATGACACAGGCAACTAACATTATTACCAGATAAAAGGAGGTCTAAGAGCTTCCTCACTGATGCTCCATATGCTATTTCTTGGAACTGATTAGGTTCCCTGAAGGAAAAGCCATTTATTCAAATCTAGAAAGATATTCAAATGTGTTTGAAAACCAGTCCTACAATAGCTTTTTTTTGGGGGGGGGGGGCTGACATTGTGGCAAACGGGTTAAGCTGCTGCCTGTGATGCTGGCATCCCATACCAGAGCACCGGTTCTAGTCCTGGACTAAGTACTTGGGTCCCTGCTATCCACTTTGGAGACCCAGATGGAGTTCCAGACTCCTAGCTTTGGCCTGGCCCAGCCCTGGCTGTTGCAGGCATTCAGGCAGTGAACCAGTGGATGGGAGATCACTCTGTAAAAGTCCTCCTCTCTGTAAAAGTCTTCCTTTTAAATAAATACATTTTCATAAAAATTGCTTTGTTGGGACTGGCCACACCTTGATTACCAGAGGTCTTTGGGCAGCAGTGACCACACCAAAGTGTCTGGGCTGCAGGGTCAAGTCCAGCTAGACTCCCACACTGCCCACGTTTCCTTTCTGGGCAGGGCTCTCGGTGGTGGGTCCCATCTGTCTCTGTATACCCTGCAATTCCAAGAACCACAGAGCACTTACCCCGCTGGTTGGTCCTGATCACATTCTTTCTAACCCTGAAGAGTTACGCTCAGGCAAGCACTTGGTGCTGCAGCGAAGATGCCACTTGGGTCACCCACGTCCCGTGTCAGCGTGCCTGGGCTGGAGTCCCAACTTTGCTCTCAATTCCCGCTTCCTGCTAACGCGCATCCTGGGAGGCAGCAGGTAATGGCTCAACTACTTGGGTCCCTGCCATCTGTGTGGGAAACCTGCATCAAGTTCCTGTTTTCTGGCTTTGGCCTGGTCCAGCCCTAGTTTTGTGACCAAGTGCAGGTGAACCAGCAGATGGGACACCTGTCTCTGTCGCTCTGCCTGCCTTTCAAATAAAGAGCTGTGCTTTCCCTTTCCAGTTTTATGTCCAAGGTCCTCCTTTTAGAATCCTCTCCCTCTGGAACCCCATCTGAGGAAAGGGGCCTTTCCTGGAAGCAAAAGGGAAGAACTGTAAGAACAGGAACACGTGAAGCTCAGTAGTTTGGAGGGAAGGCCTTCATCTGTGGCTGTCGCTGTGGCCTAAGATCTGTCATAATTCAGGGGAAGATGGTGACCAGCTGTTTCCATTCCTTGCTGAGAGAGGAGCTGCAGCAAGTGGATTTAACTACAGCAGTATGTGTTCCCGTTTCTGCTCTGAGTTACCAGGAGGGCCCCAAACCTGTGGCAAGCTGGAGCCACCGGCACTTGCCAAGTCCCCCGAAGAACACAGAGTGAGACATAAGGAAGCTGAAGACCTCTCCCAGCTCACAGGCCACTTTCTACCAGAGTTAGGGACTTGACATCATGCAGAATCCTCAGAAGGAGCCTGTGCATGGACTTCAGAGATGGTTTCTAAGCTCTAGTTGCCTTTATGTAAAACATAAGTATTTCTTACAGAGATGGTTGGTGGACTTTGTAAAAAAATGACCCACATGGAACAACTAAAGCCTAATGTTCTGTCTAGGAACAACACTTCGTCTTTTCCCTAAGGAACTTTTTAAAATTAATCATTAACTCAAGAAACATTAGGGTGTTATATCTTCTTATAGACTGACTGGATAAAAGGGTTAAATTTAAAGGCGATTATGAAGTTTCTTCCTCATGTCTACTTTAAAGGTTAAAAAAAGAAACACTGTAGCAAGTTGGATTGAAACACTTCTGCCCATTATTAAACAAAGAAATAGGAGATATCAATGTATACTTATACAATCAGAAAAGACTTGAATAAAGTTAGAAAAGAACAACAAAGGGATACCATCTGATGTTAGCAGGAAGCAGAAAAGAGAACTGTCTCTCCCCAGCTTTGATGTGGGGGTATAAACCATTGCCGTCTTTCTGGGGGAACAAGCTGGCATATATAACTTATAGCCATAAATACTCAAATATTCATAATCTTTGACCCAGAAATTCCAACTGCATAATGTTTTCCTATGGACAAAGATTTATATGAAAGGCTGTTCTTCTAAGTATTAACATATAATACAAAAAAGCCAGAAGTAATAAATATTCACCAGTAAAGGAATAGTTCAATAAATTACCTAATTAAATAATGTTAAATAATTATAAATAATAGTTAATTAAATAAATTACATAAATACACTTGTGATTGACCATTACATGCATCTGTTAAAACTAAGGAGTCTAGGGGCCGGCGTTGTAGTGTACTGGGTAAAACTGTCACCTGCAATGCCAGCATCCCATACGGGTGCCCGTTCACATCCCAGTTGCTCCACTTTGGATACAGCTCCCTGCCTATGGCTGGGGAAGAGTAGTGGAAGATGACCCAAAGTGTCTGGGCCCCTGCCACCCACATGGGAGTCTCAGATGAAACTCCCATCTCCAACCTGGCCCATCCCTGGCCATTGCAATTGTCTGGAGAATGAACCAGCATATACAAGATCTTCCTGTCTCTCCATCTCTCTGTAACTTTGACTTTCAAACACATAAATAAATACATAAATCCTTGAAAACAAAACAAAATTGGAGATTCTAAAATCTCTTTAGTGACGCAATATACATACTGTTACGTGAAAACAACAGTATATGAGGCATAGTTCCACGGCATGCACACACACACACACACACACACACAAGTGAACAGACAAGGTAATACACCAACATTTTATCAGTAGTTATCTCTGGTATTGGAACTGGAACTCATTTCTGCTTTTGTCTTTATATTATCTGCATATAATGGATTTATATTATTATTTTAAAATGAGTTAATATTTTAAAACTCCTAGTTTTAATTTCTAATAAACCAACAGATATAACCCACATACACAAAAGCTCCTTAATGTTCTAATTTTTAGGGAGTCCTAAGACCAAAACATTTGAGAACTGCTGTCCTTGAGTTCAGAAACCTAAACCTAGGCCTTCAATCCCAGCCACTGGAAAACACCAGACAGAAGGGGCTGATGCGGTAGCACAATAAAACACCAGGATCAAATACCAGACAGAAGTGATCTAGAGGCACTGCGTCAGTGCCTTTCACAGTAAGACGAGCAAAGCATGGAGAAAATGAAAATCCAAGTTATGAAAAACAAATGAAATAACCATAAAGTTAGAATTGGGGATGGTTAGCTCCACTTCTGTTTCAAAAACAAAAACAGAATCTCACCCTTCTTGGAGTGTGAAACCAATTTTCATCTTTCATTCATCCAAAATAGTTTTTATTAACAAGGCCAAATGACTGAAACAAAACAGAAACACTCCAGTGTAGGCCACATTAACCTGATGGATGGGCCAACTCGAAAGCTACAGCAGACAGGCACCATTTCAGTTCTTGCACGAGGCTTTGGGAGGACACTGGAAGGGAGACTTGGCTGCATTGCAGGAAGACTGAACTACCTCACTCAGCAGTGAGCTCTACGGAGAGAAACAGAAGCCAGGTGTGCAGCCAAAATAACAGAACTTAAGAGGCTGAATTCCCAAGCTCCAACTAGAAATTAGTATTTTTCCCTTTTAAAGAATTATAAGACCTCCCTTCTTTTGGTCATGCACCCTTGTTGCCCTGTGGGCCTTCAGGCTGCCCGCTCTCTGCTTTCCGGCCTGCACGCTTGCTCCCTGTGGCTCGCTCCTAGACTGCTCTCTGCCTGGTGTGGATCCAACTTAGCTTCTAGACCTCTTTCTCCCCTAAATAAAGCCCTCACTTTCCTGCGCATTTCTCTCACTGAATAAAAAGCTTAAAAACTTTAAAAAAAATGTAAAGACCATAAACATCCAAATGATCTTCAAACAAGTCAACTTGAGAAGCTACACATATCTTTCTTCTAGTTTATTGCCTAACCTGCTTTGACTTTAAAAAATTCTTTTTTATAAAAAAGATTTATATATTTATTTGAAAGGCAGAGCTACAGAGATAGAGGGAAAGACAGAGAGATCTTCCATCCACTGGTTTACTCCCCAAATGACCACAACAGCTGGGGCTGGACCAGGATGAAGCCAGGAGCTTTGTCTGGGTCTCCCACATGGGTGGCAGGGACCCAAATATTTGACCATCTTTCAGAGCTTTCCCAGGCACCTCACAGGGAGCTAGCTAGACTGCAGCACAGCAGCCAGAACTCAAACTGGCACACACATGGGATGTCCGCATTGCAGGCGGCTGCTTAACTTGCTGAGCCACAATGCCAGCTCCTTAACCCTTTCAGAAAAAAAATTATAACCAATTAATAAAGCTTAAAGTAAAAGAAATTAGAATTAATATCTTTGCTTTGAAATTATAATTTGGTATAAACCAGTGACTAAACTACAAATGCCTCTTTAGAAAAACTGTCTTCAACAGCTGAATTCCCCCTTGAAGGATGAAGACTTAGCACAAGTGACCGTGAGCAGAATGTGCTTTCAGACTCTGCAGAGTCGCTGGACGTCTCTGCCAATGCATCCAGGAAGCTCCCCTGCAGGCCACTGGCCTTGTTCTTGCCTGTCTCCCCCACATCTGCAGCCCTCCAGCCTGCACTCACTCGGTCTCCCTATACACTGGTTGCCGACAGCAGTCATATGGGAGAGTTCCCTTTCAAGGAACCAAGAACAAGACAAGAATGGTTATAAATTATCTACTTTTATTTGCCATTATAAAAATCAGGATTCCTTGCATTTAAAAAACATCTGTTGGTTTGGTGGCTCAGTTTTACATAAATTAATTCCTGATGTTGGTTTGGATCTCCTTTATCTATTGCTTTTCTGGTTAATTCTGGAAAGGACTAGGAGTACTAGAAACTGGCTTCCTACTGACAGCACCAGGGTTCTCCAGGGGCCTTTGGTGGGGCCACTAAGAGAGTGTCATTCAGGAGGTGAGACCATAGATCCAGGGTCTGACTGCCATGTGAATCTCAAACTCCAAAAAGAATTTGGGGCACACTGATTCTTTTTTTTTTTTTTTTTTTTTGACAGGCAGAGTGGACATGAGAGAGAGAGACAGAGAGAAAGGTCTTCCTTTGCCGTTGGTTCACCCTCCAATGGCCGCCGCGGCCAGCGCGCTGCGGCCGGCGCACCGCGCTGATCCGATGGCAGGAGCCAGGAGCCAGGTGCTTTTCCTGGTCTCCCATGGGGTGCAGGGCCCAAGCACTTGGGCCATCCTCCACTGCACTCCCTGGCCACAGCAGAGAGCTGGCCTGGAAGAGGGGCAACCGGGACAGAATCCGGCGCCCCAACCGGGACTAGAACCCGGTGTGCCGGCGCCGCTAGGCGGAGGATTAGCCTAGTGAGCCGCGGCGCCGGCCGGGGCACACTGATTCTAACAATACATTATCCTTTTTATTTTGTGTCTGCTCAAAACATGTTCAAGTTGTCTCAAGAGGCAAAAGGAAGCCAGAGGAGCCTCCTACTGTCTTCTCCTCCGTCCTCATCTCAGGAGAGCTTGCTCACCTTCCTTACCCCAGACAAGTCACTTGAGCTCAGAGACCTTCCCTGTCCTGCATGTCCCATGTGCCTTGTACTTTGTCTCTACTCACGCAGAAGCTGAGATTTTACATAACTACAAAATACTTCGACTTTGACGGAACAAAACCTGTAAGTTGTACTAAAGTGGATATAAATAAGATCTACAGTCCATCTTTTTGGGTTATTCTCCTCTCTGAACTCAGTGAGATTTGACTCACTCATGAGGTCCTGCAAAGACGAGGAAAACCACTTTTTCCTGAGGCAGCTAGGGACAGGGCTGGCATCCGTGTTTCCTGCGTCAAGGCTCTGGCGTGTGGCCTGGCCTCGCGGCTCACTCTGCTGCACACTGACCTGGGAGAGGTCCTGAGTTTTCACAGCTGGCATTTCCTTATTTGAAAAATCAGAAAGCCCTGGGATGTCACTCCTCATCCCAGTTACTTGCTTGTGGGTCTTTGGTTCATTCATATTTGACACAAACCCAAAAGAAAGCGACCTCTTGGTCATTTTCATCAAGAGATTCAAACACAAAATTCAAGTTAAACCTGAGAGACAGCTCACCTCTGGCATGATTTCGATCTTCTCGTACCGACGTTTGAAGGGCAGGGCAAGGACCTCGGCCCGCCGATAGGACATGGCCGGGGGCTGGCAGTCGATCATGAGGTCCATCCTGTGGGACTGGGCTGGGGGTGGCTGGGTGTACTGCTCAGGACAGACCACGTGCAGGGGCTGGAGAAACAGCAGAACAGGGTCACGGCAAAAGGCAGGGAAGCAGAGGAGGCTGCAGTGCAGAGCAGCCAGGTCAGAGGGCTGGTTCCTCTCTCACTCTGGCTTCCTGATGGCTCAGACTCACTGTTTTCACGCCACCTCGAACTCTCGTCCTCTCAAACCCAACCAACCAGTGAGCAGATGGATGTGTGTGTGTACGTGTGTATATGAGGGGAGCAGAATAAAAACTTCAAGGAAAACCCCTGAACTGCCAGTCATACTGATGAGTGAAGGATTTATTGCCTCAGTTTGCTTTTATTTTTTCTACTCTACAAAGTAATTTCCATGGTAACATCCATGTGTTTACTCTTAGCTGGTCTGTCTCTAGGCTCCTTTAGGGCACAACTGTTGGATGCTCCTGGCTGGCTAGCAAGGGTTGGAACTCTTCGTGCTAGTGTGTAGTTCTCGTTTAAAGTTTCTTCTGGAAGTAGGCCAACTGGTATTAGGTGGTAGGCACTGGTTATGTCCCATGCTCAGCTCTGCATGACAATGAATCAGAGTTAGGAAATTTTAGACAAAATGTCTTTTTTGTCATCTTCAAAGAAAAAAAATTAGCAAACCAATGTTTACTTCAGACAAGTACCACACAACTGAAAACTAATGTTGGAAGTCCACAGGTCACTGTATTGTTCCTGTGTTTATTACTTAAGAGTTTGAACCAAGCCACAAGGTCCTTAAAGAGTAAGGTTTTCCACCAGGTTAAGCTTGCTGGATATAAAATAGCACTTGCTCCTTAGGACTCGTACGTCTTTTGCTAGTCTTCCTGACTTGGCTATTGTTTCAGAGTCTCCTCCCTCCACAATCATGGCCTAACAGCTTCTTCCAGGGTTTCTGCTCCTAAAGCGGAGACCAGATGGCCTCCAGGTTCAAATGTTAGCACATGACCAGAGGGGTGGGAAGAGCATCCGGTTAGTTTATTGACTGGGATTTGAAGTTACTGAGTAATGAAAACAAGCTATAAATTATTTCTCCCAGTACAGTGATGAGCACACAGTGGGGTGTAAAATCACTCCAGCTAGGCCAAAGCTGGCTACAGAAAAATATTCTTCCCTGTACAGCAAGTAATTAGTGATTACCAGAATCCATTCTCCCCACCTTCCTCAGGCTCTTTAGCTTTTCAGCTATTTTTAGTTACCTTATTTTATATAAGGGCCTCTTGTCTTGGGGTCAAAATTCTGTGAAGAGGAGGAAAGAGAACTTCTCATCTAGGCCAAAAAATGGAAGGAGACCGTCACGCCTCTCTGAATGACTAGGTGAGGAGGCAAGAGGTAGCGCCAGGGCATCCTTGGAAACAATGAGGCTATAGAAAACCAGGAATTCTCCTCTCTGTTCTAAGCTGGCTTCCTTGCTGATTCCCACAGCCTGCCCACTCCCAGTCGCCGGGAAGCTCACCAGGTGAGGAGTAACTGGCCTGCGGCAGTGCCTTTGTCTCCCTCCTCTGGCTTTCTCTTTCTGCGCAGAGAGCCTTCCTTTCCTTCCTTTTATCTACTACTTCACCCCAACTACTTCCTCCCTGTCTGTATGGAAGAAGATGCAAAATGAGCCAAGAACAACAACAAAACTCAAACTGAAAACAAAACATGTGGTGTTAGACCTTGCTACACTATACTGCCTGTCAGCTCAGTGAAACATGTTTCTAGAATGACTTTTTTGAGGAATGGAAGGAAGATGGATAGTTTTTTTTGTTGTTGTTGTTTTTTTTAGTGGACAAAGATGGTCCTCAACAAAAATAATAGACTCTTTATGCTTTCTTTCCCTTTCCTTTTTGATTTCTTTCGAATGGAAATTTTCTTCAGGGTGTAAAGGTCAGTAGGTGACTTTTAAGTTTGAAGGGTAATGAGTGCACGTCCCAGCATTCTGCAGACATTTGAGAGAAGAGGGAGACAAGAACCTGAGTGCAGCTAGACACCCGTCCACTCACACCACAGAAGCACACACTCCACAGTGACTTAACCACACAAACACACAAGCAGTTTCCTTCAGTACCTGCACTTCTTTAAGCAATTTAGACACCTGGATGAAATTCAGCCGTGTGTCGATGGGGCAGTATATGCATTTCATGGCCAAGGGCTGGTAGGGAGCCAGTGCTTCCAGGTAGGAGAAGTCCGGTTCTAAGCAAAGTACAAAAAGGAATTTCAAAATGCAAGCAAGGCTGATGAAGTCAGGGCCAAGCAGATGGGCAGCACAGTGAATAAGTCAGTGAGTCCTGTGCAGCGACGGGAGGAAAGGAGTTCCAAATAAGGAGAGAGGCGGGATGGACCTGCACGTATAGGTTCAACATTTCCAGCCCGGAGAAGCAGATGAATGAGGGGATACACAAGTACATGGAGGAGAAGGCAAAGCTCTTATGTACAGCAACTAAATATAAAACAAATGATGACTTTCAAAAAAAATCCCACTTGGTAATCATCACAGTAATAATTTAGTCAGATGAGAATCATCAATAAATACTAAAAATGTAGATAAAAATTTGAGGAACAAGAGAATATTTACATTCTCAAAGTGTTCCCTACAAAATACTGCTTAAATACAAAGAAAAACAATGACTTCACAGTGTGGAGCACAGCCTGGCACAGACCACGTGACTCACATCATGTCATGTGCCCAAAGTCAACACTCAGATGTGAGATAAATCAGCATCATGGCCCCCTGCTGACAGGACACACCTAAGAGGCAACAGACTAGACTCTGAGCCCACATCACACAGGCTTCTGCTAGGACTATTCCATTCCTCCTGCAAGCCCAGCACAGTAACTTCGCCAGTGTCTCAGAACACCTGACAGAACCTCCAGATACTGGGGTTACCACCTCCAGTAGATATTTCCTTAAAAATACCCAGAACCACCTCCACCCCTCCTCCCCACAATGAGGCAAGAACAGGCCACCCACAACTGGCTCCCTTTTCTCATGTACAGTCAACATAGCACAAACAGAAAAGGTGGCTTGAAACTTCTTTCTGTCTCACGCTATTGGATGTCAGGAGTGACAAAGCTCCTGGTCTGGAAGCCTAACAAGCCAGTTTAAATGTAAGTTCATTACCCAGAGTTTTGTCACAAATGATTTTATAATCCTTGATTTCTAAAGAAAAATTTACTACAGAAAAATTAACACTGAAGTCAACCCCTCTTATTGTACCCATGTCAGTACCGTAGCCATTGTCAACCAGAGAGTCACAACTCATTCAAAGAAGCAGGAAAGATCAACTGCAAACAACGTTCTCTTGTTAGTAAACTTCTGGCAATGGTGAATAAACGTCCCATGGCCTGACTTCCTTTGCATTTACCCAAAGCCGGCCTGAGAAGAGAAAGCCTGTGCCTGATGGCTGGGAGCTCTCCCAGCACTTTCAGCTCAGCTGTGATATTAGTAGGAGGTGGCTAGGCCATGGTGGCCTTCTGTTGGGCGATTTCACAGAACACCAACATCAAACAAGCCCAGTTAGTGGCCACAATGGACCCAGACTAGGAAGACCTCTTGGTAATCATGACTGAACACAAACCATCACATGGTCTCAACCACAAAACAGGCAAACACTACCTACACTATCCTGAACGCCAGTCTTCTTCTGTTCTAGATAGGAATCACTGAAAAGCCCAACTGTAGAATTTCTTACAGTTCCTACTTTAGAACGAAGGCCCAGATCCACTAACCACCTCAAGTCACTTTACCACCCCAGATCTTACAGGAAGGTCTTTTGATCATGTTTATACCCATAGTAAGTGTTCCTCTCAAGGCGATGGGGCCAGCAACCCAACTCTGACTACAGATGTGTCCCTGGTCTAGGGAGGAGAAAGCTGTCTAAAACTTTCTCAACAGCTCTTCCATGGGAGGCACCTTACTAGGTGCTCTCATATAGCACTTTATAGTAAGTGCCCCAGGGCAACCCAAGGAGCTGGTGATCAACAGTAAAGGAGGGTGAGGCTTGCTGAGGGGAGCTGGCTTAATTACAGAATACAGCAAGTTGGGTTGAACTTTTTTACTTGTAAGATTTTGAAAATCAATGCTGTCTGAAGACTTTACATTGCTAAAATGTAATAGTGATTAAAGAACATCCCTACTTGACCTTATTAAAGGATTTGTTTGTCCTGAGTGGTTTGTCTCCAAGAAAAAAACTGCAAGACAAAGAAAGACAAAGACCCATGTGGATAAACAGTTTCAAAAGGTTAAAACAAATCTGACTACTGGAATTTTAGTAGTACTTGAAATGACTCATGAAATCCTATCAAAAAGCTGTTCAGTAGAATTCCATCTCAGGGAAAAATCTTCAAAAACAGAAATAGGAGCCTATGTTGAGGTGGAGCAGGGTAAACTGCTGCTTGCAATAACAGCATCCCATTGTGGAGTGCCAGTTTGAGCCCCAGCTGCTCTGCCTAATGAACCAGCCTCCTATTAGAGTGCCTGGGAAGGCAGCAGATCATGGCCCAGGTACTTGGGCTCCTGCCACTCATGTGGAAGGCCAGGATGGAGTTCTTGGCTCCTGGCTTTGGCCTGATCCAGCCATGGTTGTTGAGGCCATTTGGGTAATGAACCAATGGATCTCTCTTTCTCTGTCACTCTTTCAGAAAAACAAAGAAACAAAAAAAAAAACCCACAGAAATAAAAGCTGTGTTCAATACACAGTTATCTAACAGGCCATGTTGCTTTATTCTCTTTCCCTTATAAGTTTCTCATTCTTTGGTACATACAAGAGAATCAGGTTCATGTCTATGCCTTAGATTATGATGAAACCCTTCCTGGGTCTCTACCTTGTAGGCACATTCACCATGGTCCCAGTGGAAAGAAAAAGCAGGGTTTTGATTGTTTTTGAAATTTACCTGTGAATATAACAGTATTGAGACTAGATTTTCCCCAGAGCTCCATGAAATGGACCACGTCGCCAAACCGGAGGGAAGGGTGCCCGGTGAACACCACACACGGCTGCCTGAAATCATTGCTGAAGTCTCCATGGATGCTGGGGTAGTGCTTCAGCTTGTTGGTCTGAATGAGCTAGAAGACATAAGAAAAGAAGAAGAGATGTTAGTCTGCCTAAAGGAAGAACCAAAGCCCAAGGGGGTATGTACAGCTGAATTAAACACATCACCAGAAACAAGAAGACAGAGGATGAGAGACAGTATCTGCAACAGACACACCTCAGAGAGGACCATCACTCAAAGTTTACAAACTCTTCAACTCAGCAAGAAAGCAAAGAACTCAATTTAAAAACAGGCAAAAGGCCTGAATAGACACCTCATCAAAGAAGATATGTAGATGCAAACCAGCATCATACACCACTAGGGAAATGCAAATTAAAACAATAAGATAGATGCTACTAATCACTTAATCACATGACCAAAATCCAAACATCAACACAACTGATGTTGGTGAGGATGTGGAAAAACAAGAACCCTCGCTTATTGCTCGTGGGAATGCAAAATGGTACGGCTACTTTGGAAAAAACAGTATGGTGGTTTCTTACAGAACTAAACATGCTTTTTTCATATACTCCACATATCATACTACTACTTGGTACTTACCCAAAGAAATTAAAAACTTATGTTCACTACAACATCTGCACAGACATTTCCAGCAGCTTTATCCATTAACTGCACTAACTTGGAAACAATCAAGATGCCATTTAGCAGGTGAATAGATACACTGTGGTACACCAAGGCAATGGAATATTATTCAGAAGTACAAGGTGATGGGCTATCAAGCTCTGAAAATATACGAAAGAACCTATTACTAAGTGAAAGATGAAATCTGAGAAGGCTACATACTAATAAAACTTCAGTGAAATGACCTTTTGGAAAAGGCAGAACTATGGAGACAGTAAAGAGGCCAGCGGTTGCCAGGGGCTGGGGCAGGGGAGGGATGATTAGGCAGAGCACAAAGGATTTCAGGCTGGGGAATCTATCTGTATGCTACTTTTTTTTACATTTTTCTTTTTTTGACAGGCAGAGTTAGACAGTGAGTGAGAGAGAGAGAGGGAGAGACAGACAGACAGACAGACAAAGGTCTTCCTTCTGTTGGTTCACCCCCACCAAATGGCTGCTCCAGCTGGCGCGCTACACCGATCCGAAGCCAGGAGCCAGGTGCCTCCTCCTGTTCTCCCATGCAGGTGCAGGGCCCAAGCACTTGGGCCATCGTCCACTGCACTCCCGGGCCATAGCAGAGAGCTGGCCTGGAAGAGGAGCAACCGGGACAGAACTGGCGCCCCAACCAGGACTAGAACCCGGGGTGCCGGCGCCGCAGGTGGAGGATTAGCAAAGTGAGCTGCGGCGCCGGCCTATCTGCATGCTATTGTGATGAATCCATGTCATTATACATTTGCCCAAATCCACAGAATGCACAACACCAAGAATGAACTCTAATGCAAACTGTGAGACTTATGGGTGTACTTGTCCAAGTTCACCAGTGTAATAAAAGTACCACCTGGCATGGTTGTGGATTCTGGAGGAGGCTCTGTGTGTGCAAGAAGGTCGTATACAGGAACTCTGTGTACTTTCTGCTCATTTTTGCAGTGAACCTAAAACTGCCCTAAAAAATAAAGCCCCACACAGATATTCCTTGACGTTCAATGGAGTTATATCCTGAAAAACTATCTTTATGTCAAAAACATACTTAATACACCCAACCTCCCAAACATCCCAGCATAGCAGCACAATACAGGAGATACAGACCATTTGGGAGCTACAGGCTCACTGCTGCCCTGGCATGGCCAGACGGTATTGTACTGCATTTTGCTAGCTCAGGAAAAGATCAAAACTCAAAGTATGCTTTCTACTGAATATCACAACCACTGCAAAGTCAAAATATCTAAGGTGAACCATCACAGGTTGGGAACTGTCTGTACAAAGTCATTCAAATTAGCCAAAGTTTTCATTTAACAATGTGACTTTTGGAACAGATGAGAAAGGCAAGTCCTTTTAACATTGACAGACTTCCAGAAACTTGTTTCATAGCTTCCTGACACTGCCAGCTTGGCCTGAAGTCCTCAGTATCATGCATTGTTTAGAATACAATTAACTTTCCCAACATTTGCGAATCACCAGGTCCTGGCAACAATAAATACATTCCTCACATGAGAAGCTGTTGACTAGTACAGGAAATCCTCCTGAGAAGTCAGAGCTGTGTTAAGTTACTATGGCAACTTAGCAAAGACAAAGACCACACTGGCTTTCAGAGAAAGTTGGGAGATTTTTTTTCCCTCAGGACAGAGAGAGCTGTATTAAGAAGTAGGCCAAACACCACCTCAAATTTGTCTCTAGGGTGTGTATTTTTTAATTTACTTGTATGTTTATTTCAGACAGATATAGATGGGGGGGTGGAGGGAGGCGGGAAAGGAAGGAGAGTTGGGGAGAGGGAGAGGGAGAGAGAGAGAGAGAGAGAGAGAGAATGAATGAATGAATATCCTATCCTCTGGTTCATTCCCCAAATGTCTGTGATGGCTGGGGCTGGTGTAGGCTGAAGCTAGGAACTCAACCCCCGTCTTCCACATGGGTGGCAAAGACTTCACTTCTTCCCAGGGTGAGCATCAGCAGGAAGCTAGAATCAGGAGTGGAGCTGGGACTTGAACACAGGCACTCTGATATGGGATATAGGCATCCCAACCAGCAGCTTAACCACTAAGATATGTGCTCACCTCCCCTAAAACCAAAAGAGTTTTTGATCAATGCTAGGTGACACACTCCCAGTGTCAGGCCTGTTTCATGATAACACCATAAACAGTTATAACCACAGATGGCATCTGTGACACTGCTCAGGAACTGCCTGCTGGCTAAACCCTGTGCCTGCCTCCTCACTTCAGCAACAAAAAGTCAGATGAAAAACACCAGACTTCATAGACCCTACGTATCAATGAGGTCGAAGCAGCACTGCCCTGAGATAATATATTTAATGGATAAAGAAATGGTCTGTGACATGGCTTAATCCTGTTAGCAACCCAGGGGGACCAGTCAGCAACTTCAAGTTCAAATAAAGTCATCCCAATAGTGAGGATGTGGCTAGAGTGGGTGAGCCCCAAATAGAAGGCAAATTCTATTCATTTTAGAATTTTATCTTTAGTTAGAGAGACGTGAGTTTATCAGGAAGATGGAAGTACTACCCTGGAGATTTTAATCAGTTGTTACATGCTTGGGTGGGATATTAATAGTAAACTTGGAGTGAACAGTGGATTCTGACTTTTTTTCCCAGCTGTACTACAGTCTTTACGAAGTTCATGGAAAATGTACAGTAAGAGAAAAATTTATGCATGGATTAAAAAAATTTTACACCCAAATAAACATTTTTAAATCAAATTTTCCATAAACTTTTTTTTATAACCTGTGTGGCCAAACTCATTAGTCATCCCAGTTAAGTGGGTAAGAGGCTGTCTACAGGAGTAAGTCTACTATACCCACAGATGTCAAGAAGATGAATGGGATTCTAACAATAGCAGCAGGCCTTTGTACACTCAAGTCCCTTTTTTAGGCACTACCAATCGTTTCTGTAGCTCTACTGATCAATGAATTGAAATTAAGATAAATTCATATTTTTTTCAACCAGCTCTACTTTTCTGGCTGATTTAACTACATTTGACCACTGGAAAAGACGCTGTAGGGCAGGAATTCTGTATGGTAATTTGTAATCAGTGCTAAGAGCAAACCCATATTTTCTTATGGACACTGTTAACTATACTGAAGGTCTACCTTTTTTTTTTTTTTTTTTGACAGGCAGAGTGGACAGTGAGAGAGAGAGAGAGAGAAAGGTCTTCCTTTTACCGTTGGTTTACCCTCCAACGGCCACTGTGGCCGGCACCCTGTGGCCGGCACACCGCGCTGATCCAAAGCCAGGAGCCAAGTGTTTCTCCTGGTCTCCTATGCGGGTGCAGGGCCCAAGCACTTGGGCCATCTTCCACTGCACTCCCGGGCCACAGCAGAGAGCTGGACTGGAAGAGGGGCAACCAGGACAGAATCCGCCCCCCCCGAGCGGGACTAAAACCCGGTGTGCCAGCGCCACAGGCAGAGGATTAGCCTATTGAGCCACAGCGCCAGCCTGATGGTCTACCTTAATAATGACAAGTGTATTTCAGTAACCCTGATGGTACCACTATGGTCTATTTGTATTCCTAACCATAAATGGGACAAGGTCATCTATGACATACAAGTATGTGTGTGTGTAAGCATATGGTAACTCTCTTAGAAAAAACAAGTTCTAACGAAAGCCTAGCTGTTACTACAGGAGAGGAAAACAGACTTTTAATGCAAAGTCCACCAAAAAATATGTTTGTCACATTCAATTGTGTGACATTAATTTTACTGTGGTAATGACATAGCTTACAAAAATTCTGGCTGCTATAATATTACTGAATATGAGGACAGAAAACAACCTTCTTTATAACTTTCCATCCAGTATTCTGGTTTGTAAAAGACTTGTCCTTCAGAGTAGGAAAATAGCAGTTAAAATAATTAGCAGGACATTTTGTTGCAATTTACTCTGTGTCAGTTAATTGTGAAACAAACAAAACCAGTAAATCCCTAAATATACACATCTGCACAACATGATCTCAGTGAACGAGGCTCTACCTGATGAAGAGATATAAATTAGACTATCACAGAACTTAGTCCATGAGTGAGATAGTCATAGTCAACATGGTTATATTACAAAATAGCGTGACCATTAAAATCAAGAAATTAACACTGATAAGAGACTTATTCCTCCGTATCTGAAAGGGAATGGTTCTAAGATCACTCTGCAGTTATCAAAATTGGAGATGCTCAAGTCCCTTACATCAATGGTGTGGTATTTGCACAGAGCCTACGCACAGCCTCCCCTATACTTGATATCATCTCCAGATTACTTATAATACCTAATCAAATATAAATGCTATGGAAATAGTTGCTATACTATATTGTATTGATTATTGGTCACTGATTATTATCTGATGGACAGAGCTCCAGTCTGCTGGCTCATTTCCCATATTATTAAAAGAGTGAGGACTGGGCCAGGCGGAAGCTGGGAATCTGGAACTCCCATGAGAGTGGCAGGAACCCAATTACTTGAGTCATCATCACTTTTCCCTGAGTGTACATCAGCAGGAATCTGCAGTCAGGAGCCGGAACAGGGTATCAACCCCTGACACTCTGACAGAGTACACAGGTGTCTCTAAGGGAATATAAATATTCAGTACATACAAAAATTCTTTTCCTGTATATTTTTAATCCAGTTAGTTGAATCACAGAACCCAGTGATACAGGAGGACAACTGTTCTGCAGTTCATTGGTGTACCCCATTCCAACTTGACCAGCTTAATCACTGCCTTTACTAGCAAACAAGTAAACAAAAAGCTTTTCTTCTGTTCCTAGACCCAGCCCACAGTCACAGGGTGAATCTAACTGTCACATCTCTTCATTCTCTTAGCAGGTCCTTAGTCTTCCCTTGTCCTCTTAGTCTTTGACATTTTTGAAAAGTTCAGGGTAAGTTACTTTGCAGAAGGTCCCTGAACTTCAGTCTGATTGCTGTCTTCTCATTTAGGTGACATATATTTATCAAAACTATCAGAAATTACACTGTGCTTTCTCAAAAATTCATATAAGAGGCACATGTTGATTAGTCCAATTATTGGTGATGTTGATTTTGATCACAGGTGTATCAGGTTTGCCCAAACTGAGGGGACTATTTCTTTCCTGCAATAAGAATTTTGTGGGGGCATATCTTGAGGCATACTTGGGCATACCAAGTTCTGCTTAAAATGTTCTTCTTCTGGTTTTAGCACCCACTGGTGATTCTTGCAGGAATAAATTCTTACTATGATGACTGCTAAATGATGGTTTCCTCTTCTTTTTTTGAAAATTAAATTATTTATTGGAAGGTAGTTTTACAGACTAAGGGAAAGACTACAGAGAAAGGGAGAGACAGAAAGGTCTTCCACTTACTGGTTGACTACCATATGGCCATAACAGCCGCAGCTGGGCCAATCTGAAGTCAGGAGCTTCTTCTGGGTCTCCCACATGAGTGCAGGGGCCTGAACACACTGCTTTCCCATGCCATAAGCAGAGAGCTGGTAGGAAGGAAGAGGAGCAGCCAGGACACAAACTGGCACCCATGTGGGATGCTGGCGTCAAAGGGGAAGGCTTAGCCTTCTACACCACAGCACTGGTCCTTCTATGAGTCTTTTCTGTGTTAATTATGTGGCATTCTAGTGAATAAAGAGCTTCTCCTCCTCTCTCATTTACCTCTTTATCTCACTATGGACTCAAGAGTTTGTCATTCTACGGGTCATAGTCATAGTTATTCTGATATTCTGGTGACCTCATTTGTGGCCATTTGACATGCTCCCATTGTTTTCTGAGCCTCATTTTATATTTTCTGAAGAGGCCTGGTTCCTTTTAGTAGAGAATGATATTTACAAAGATCCATGTGCTAGATGTGTTCACTGGCTAGTGGAGTGTTAATGCTTCAGAGTCTCTTGGTGGACAGAGCCAGGAAAAGATATATATGAACTTATATGTGTATTTGTGTACAAATACACACACAACTACATTTCTTTCTGTGTCTATCTACACAGATTTAAAACCTGAGTTCATACCAATACAACCAATTCAATATAATCCAACACAAAAGGATTAACTCTTTCCATATCATTAACTCTCTTTATTTCTTGTTACTTTTTTTTTTTTAAAGATTTATTCTATTTATCAAAAGTCAGAATTACAAGGAGAGAGGGAGAGATAGAGAAATCTTCCATCCACTGGTTCACTCCCCATATGGCCACAGCAGCCAGGACTGAGCCAGACTGAAGCCAGGAGCCTCTCCCAGGCTTCCCGTGTGGGTAAAAGGGCCCAAAGACTTAGGCCTTCCTCTGCTGCTTTTCCAGGTGCATTAACAGTGAACTGGATAGGAAATGGAGCAGCCAGGACTCAAACTGGAGCTCATATGGGATGCTAGCGCGTTAGGTGGTGGCTTAACCCGTTAAACCTTAATGCTGGCCCCCATACACTTTTTTTTATAATGAACACATGAACAAACCTATTCACACATCAAGAAACAAAAGCATTACTAGCTCTTTAGAAATCTGTGTTTCCTCCTAATCATTACTATCCCACCCTCACCTAAGGATAAATATTATCCTGGCTTCTTATGATTCATGTTTTTAAACTTTTACATACATAATATTACATAGGTTAGTTTGTCATGTTTTTAAATTTTTACATAAATAATGTCACACTATATGTATTCTTTTATATCTGGCTTTGTCCTTTCACACTGTTTGTGAACTTCATCTACACTGTTGCATTGGGGTTTGTTTATTCTCATTGCCCACCTTCAGTTTTTGTTTTTCTATTTGTAATACTTCTATTCACACTTACTCTCACTGATGTAAGGTATTCCACTGTGAGAATGTACTACAAAATCTATCCCACTGCAGGCCAGCATTTGGGCATGTATTCTTATTATTACCAAGAATTCCATGATGCCTGTGCACTTCTGTTCAATACATACCTTTAGGAACAAAACTGCTGAGGCACTGAGTATACCATACAGCTTTGGCAGACATTGCCAGACTTCTGAAGTGTCCAAATCTGATAACATTAAGTTCATTACAGTATGTTCATATTATGCTATGGAATATTAGGCAGCAGAAATAATAATATGAATCACAAAGAAAAGTATCCACAATACACCATTTGGTTAAAAAACCAAATGGAAACAAGCCTGGACATTCAGCTACATAAAAACTTTTATCACTAAGTATAATACCTAGTGAAATAAGCCAGTCCCCAAAAGACAAATATCATGTTTTCCCTCATCTGTGATAACTAATACAGTGCAAAAAATGTAATGTAGATGAGTGAAATCAACATTTTGAGATCTGATTATTGTTTAGAGTCCTTGTCTCTACTGTTGAGGAATAGTTATTTTTTCTTCTTCTTACTATTTGTTGAACTGTCAACTTGGTGGAAGGTTAAACTTATGGTTATAAAATAAACTGAAAACATGTCACTGTAAAAAATAAAAGAGTAAGAAAAGAAGGAGGAGAGAGTGTGGGAGCATGGGCGGGATGGAGAGTACACTGGGAAGTATCACTATGCTCCTAACTCTGTACATAAGAAATACATGAAATTTGGTCACCTTATATAAATAAAAAAATATTTAAAAAACAAAACAAACAAACCAAAAAAACCCATTTATCAGTTCTCTGAGGGGAGGGGAATTTTTTTTCTTTCTTTTAAACAGAACTATTTTCATCTTTAAAAATTTGTCAAGAAACACTTATATATGATTATATAACTAACTGGAAAAAACCTTTGATGATAGGTTAATGTATTACTCCAAAAAGCTAGCAGTAGACATTAGAATAAAGTTTCTCACTCAGTCCCTAGAACAGAGGGAGGTTACAGACGGTGTAGACATCACAGTACTATCATACTAACAGAAGGAGAAATGATGCTTTAGTCAGAGTATTTTACTGTACCTTACCTGGGAAGCAATGGATGCATAAATTTGCATAGGGGTATTTTTCACTTACTGACCCACTGTCCCCATTCACACTGAGTTATATGCATTTCCTTTCTACCCTGACCCAATAATTCTATTTCTTACCTCTGCATGAGGAAAAGGTGGTTCTGGGAGATACACCTTACTCTGTTTGTTGTGACAAAGCCTTTAAAGAGGAAAAACAGAGAAGCACGTTAAGAAGGCCATACTGTTGCATTTGGTGCCACCTAATGGCAGCAGCACAAGTAACACAGTTTATTTAAACATTTTCAGCCAGTGAAACTCACTGTCAATTAAAAACCAGTCCCTACGCAGCACTCAGGACACAGGGTTTTTGTGTGCAATTTTTTAACCTTTGAAATTCCCAACACATTTCCTTTTTTAAAAAAATAAACTTGTTATGCATAAAGTCAAGAAATTAACATTAACATATTACAATTAACTAAATTCCAAACTTTATTCAGATTTCACCAGTGTTTCCACTCATTTTTTTTTTTTTTTACTATTCCAGGGTCCAATCCAAGATGTTATATTGAATACTGTTGCTATCAGGTTTTTTTTTTTAAAGATTTATTTATTTATTTGAGAGGTAGAATCACAGAGAGAGGGAGAGACAGAGAGAGAAATCTTCCATCTGCTGGTTCACTCCCCAGATGGCCACGATGGCTGGAGCTGCATGGGTCCAAAGCCAGGAGCCAGGAACTTCCTCCAGGTCTCCCATGCAGGTACAGGGACCCAAGGACCCGGGCTATCCTCTACTGCTTTCCCAGGCCATAGCAGAGATGGATTGGAAGTGGAGCAGCCGAGACTCGAACTGGTACCCACATGAGATGTCGGCACTGCAGGTGGTAGCTTCACTCGCTACACCAAAGGGCTGGCCCCGTCATCTGTTTTGAGGGGAAAACCTTTACCTTTTTCAGAGACATGGCTCTATGTGCACATGCACTGTTTCATTAACAGCAGAGCTGCCAACTCTAACTATGGCGACTGTTTCAGGTAATCTACGATTTTTCCTAGTCAGATACAGGTCTACAATATATAGAAGTCTGGACAAAAGAAATGTGGCAAAAAAGCCTGCAACTTAGAAATCAACGTATATGAGTTTTATACACGTATGACTTTGAAGAATTAGAAAAAATGCATATACATTGATGTAGTTTGTTAGAACCTACTTTTAAGAATTCTAACAAAATATCATGAAAGCATTTAAACAATTCCAGTGGATGCTATTTTGAGGGGAATTCAGGTCTTCAAGGCTTGGATTTTGCATTAACTTAATACAAGATAAATCTATTTTTTCCCTACCTCTAGTTAGCTTTAACCTTGACTTCAAAGATATCATTTTATATCCATTTTGTAAGGATATAAATATGGAAGCAAGATACTTTCGCAGAGTTATCTTATCTAAAAAGACACTGGTTCTGTCTTTATTTCAAATGCCAAAAGAGAAGTAAATATAACAGCTTATTTCAAAAGCTATTTGGATTGTTGCTAAGAAAATTATGCTACATTCCTTAGGAGGAGAGAGATTAGGGATGCAGAGAAAATTATAATCTACGGAGAGGTTCTAAAGTCTACCTGCTTCCAAGTATCTGGAGCCAGTTCTGCTAACAGCCCCTCCATATCTCTGTTCCAGAGTCCCCACACAAGTATAATAGAGAACCCCCCCCCCCCAAGCCTTTCTGAAAGGGGTCGAGGAGCCAATGAGAGTTTTTATCTTCTGGTTGTAGCTGCTGGAGTTAGAAGGGAGACCTGTGTTTATTAGGTGTATTAGTTTTTCATCACCATAATAACATTCTTGAGGCTGGATAACCTTATAACAACAACAAAAAAAAGGTTTAATTTGGCTCATGATCCTGGAAGTGCAAGGTTAAGGGCACACATCTGGTGACAGCCTTTTTGCTAGCAGGGTCCCAATGTAGTACAAAGCATCAAATGGCAAGAGACAGGAAATGCGTGTGTCTAACTGGGTATCTGTCTAACCTCTGCCCTTTTCTAAGAGTCATGAGTCTCAATCATGGGTCTCCCCCCTAACAACCTGATGCAGCCCCTTCCAAAGGCCCCTCTTCTAAACATTACAGTCCGATTAAGTTTCTACCCTCTTAACACCTCACAATTGGGATTAAATTTCAATACAAGAAGCCCTGCAGGACACTCATATCAAACTATACCCAAACTACAACATTAATAGGAAAAATGAGGAACAAGCAATGCTTCCAGAATAGTCTCTAACTAGGAGTCTGAGAGACCCTCTTACTCTTTGACAGCCAGGCCTGACAAGGTACATGCTCTTCAGGATAATGCTTACTCATCAAAAGATCAGAGCCCTTCAGGAGCCATTCCTTCTTACCTCCACCCTCTGTGAAGACAGAACACCCAAACAAGGCAGTAAGTAAATGTGCTTTTAGCTTAGAACTGGAGATGACATCAGGATAGCCAAGAGGTGGGTTTCTGCAGGTGTCAAAGCAGGACCACACAAAGGTCAGAGTAGAACCCTTGAGAACAGGAGCCATGTGGCCTGGGAGCCACAGTGGGAGCCACCTAGTGACCTAGGTGAGCAGCTGGGTTGGAGGCTGAAAGCCCAGAGCAACTCTCAGAGCAATGAAGAGGAGAGGGAATAAAACTTCAGAGTAGGCTGTGGTGGTCCTGGGTTGGGGAGCCAGGCCTCACCTAGGTCCACAGTGACTACTTGTGAAGTTAATGCAAATCTGGAGCATCTGTCCACTTCAGTAACTGAGCTCTTTATGTAGGGAGGAAGAGTGCTTTACAGGCAAGTTGTATAAGAAAGGAGAACAAGGTGAAACAGGGAAGCGTGCTCAATCAGTGAGCTGTGAACCTTGTTTCATAAAAGGAATCCCCCTGCCCACCAGCACTCACTGGGATGGCCTGGCTGAGGTTTCCCTAATCCCAATCAGCAACTCTGCTACCTTTGTGAGCCAATGTTGTGCCACAGTGGGTTAAGCTGCTACCTGTGTTGCAGGCATCCCATATCAGGGTGCGGGTTCAAGACCTGGCCACTCTGCTTCTGACCCAACTCCCTCCTAATGAGTGTGGGAAGGCAGTGGAGGATGGCCTGAGTGCTTGGGCCCCTGCACCAACATGGAGACCCAGATGGAGTTGTGTTTCCTGGCTTCAGCTTGGTCCAGCCCTGGCTGGCATTAAAACTGGATAAATTTATTTGGGTGCAAAATGAACGGAAATCCATGTATAGTTTTCTCACAAGAGGTGCTTTCCATGAACTTTCTGAAGATCTCTCTCATATGCAAGGATTTCAAACTTTTTGCACCAAAATAGACTTATCTTTTTATTTTCACCTCCCATTAACTCTTTGATGTACTCTTTGAATGTGTACATGTATCTGTATCAGATTATTTCAAAGTGGTAGGAGGTTTATACAACTGCCTCTTCCTTAATGATAGACTCCTCAAGGTCAGAGACCCTTTTGTTATCTTGAGTGCTTAAAATGTGGTGGCACTTAACAAAGGTTTATGGGTGGAACGACATAGAACTATACACAGAAACAGGTAGAAGTAATTATATGATCACTATGTTTAAGATTTCAGTGATGGACATCAAAGAAGCTTGAGAGAATTGAGAGGTTTCCATACTGCAAAAGAAACAACCAGGAAAGTGAAGAGGAAACCAACAGAATGGGAGAAATTATTTGTAAACTATGCAACCAATAAAGGATTAATAACCAGAATATATAAAGAGATCAAGAAACTCCACAACAACAAAACAAACAACTGAGTTAAGAGTTGGGCAAAGGACTTAAACAGACATTTTTCAAAAGAGGAAATCCAAATCCAACAGACACATCAAAAAATGTCCAGGATTACTAGCTGTTGGGGAAATGCAAATCAAAACCACCATGAGGTTTTACCTCACCCCAGTTAGAAAGGCCTTCATACAAAAATCAACAAACAACAAAGGCTGGTGAGGATGTGGGGAAACAGGTATCCTAACACACTGTTGGTGGGAATGTAAACTGGTAAAGCCACTATGGAGGATGGTATGGAGATACCTCAGAAATCTGAATATAGACCTATCATAGGTCCCAGCCATCACAATCTTGCCTGGGAATTTACCCAAGGGAAATGAAATCAGTAAGTAAAAGAGTTATCTGCATTTCCACGTTTATTGCAGTTCAATTCATAATAGCTAACACATAAAATCAATCTAAGTGCTTGTCAACCGAAGATTGCATAAAGCAATTATGGGATATGCACATTATGGAATACTACACAGCGTTTAAAAAAATGAAATCTGGTCATCTGCAACAAAATGGATAAATCTGGTGAATAAATAAATACTTAATACTGAATAAATAAATACTGGTGATAAATAAATACTTAGTGAAATAAGCCAGTCCCAAAGGGACAAATGCCATATGTTCTCCCTGATCTGTGAGAACTAATAGGGTACGTAAAACAAAATCTGTAGAAGTGAAATTGACACTTCGAGAAGGCATTACTTGAGCTGCCCTTGTCTTGAATGTTGAGAAAGTTTTGTGTTTTTTTTTGTTTTTTGTTCACACTATTTGTTGAACTCTTTACTTAACAATGAGTTAATCATATATGTATAAAGTCAATTGAGGATGTATCTCAGTAAGAACAAGAGTGGGAATAAGAGAGGGAGGAAGAAGTTTCTAACTATAAAGCTGTATAGTTCTGCATACATTCCTATGGACTTACTTCTAAGGGTACAGTTTAAAAACTTGTCATGGGACCCCAAATCCCATTAAGCTCAGTGGTAAAAATGCCATCTTAAGTGTTAAAGTGATCATATTAAGTGTTAAAGTGAACAAATAGATAGGATTAAGTGTTAAAGTGATCATATAAATAGGATCAAGTATCTGGTAATAATAGAATTAAAAAGGAGAGAATGTTCCAACATGGGAAGCAGTCAACACAGCAGGCTCATAGAATGACAGTCGCTTTAAGTAACACTCTGACCTCAGAATCAGCCCTTAAGGCTTCCTGGTCTGGCTGAAAAGTCTATGAGAGCATTTCAGGCATGGAAAGCCAAGAAACTGTGGCAAAAAATGTTCTACATGAAGGACCTGTGAGTGAGATTCCAGTGAAAAGAAGTGGCCATCAAAGAAGGATATACTTTTCTCTGAAGGGAGGAGAGAACGTCCACTTTGCTTATGGCCTTGTCCAAATACTGACAGAGTTTTTGGATTTAAAAGGCTTCCATAGCCTAGGCAGCTCATGTCAAGAGCCTAGGGTGATCACTGACGTCATATATGAGTGTTAATTGTTAAATTAATAACAGGAGTCACTTTGCACTAACTCCCCATGCAGGACCTCTGTCCTTAATGAGTTGTATTATGAGAGTTAACTATAATACTAGTTCTCAGGTTTGGTGTGTGTGTGTGCATGTGTGCAAATTGTTGAAATCTTTACTTAGTAGAGAGTTGGTCTTCTGTGTACAAAGTTAACTGAAAATGAATCTTAATGGAGAATGGGACTGGGAAGGGGAGAGAGCGGGTATGGTGGAAAGAATAACTATATTCCTAAAGTTGTACTTATGAAATTTGTATTCCCTAAAAAATAAATTAATTAATTAATTTAAAAAAAAGCTTGAGAGAAACATCTTGTGTCATGGCATAGGAAGACTACTAAAAGGATATCAATTTGTAATTTATAGGGTTCAAGGTACTCAAAAAGATATTCTGGAAAGTGATGTTCAGTTCTCAAGCAAGAACAGTTCAGTGAATTGTGATTAAGAAAATAATTAAAGGAGAAATGTTTTTTACTACAGTGTACAATTATAAATGATGCTAGTTAGCAAAACATATTAGTATCAAATTCGCCAAAGCATAGATAAACAAATTAGGATAGTTCAGAAATAAAACTTAGTACATATAAAAGTTTAACACACAAAATTAATATAAATCTGTTGAAAAAGTTAAAATTATTTAATTAATAATACTTAGACATGCAATTACTTGGTTTTTGGAAAAAGAAAAAACTAAGTTAATGCTTCTTTTCGCATTATCCAGATAAATAGTTGGGAGGATGAGCAAAAAGGGAAAAGAAACTACAACAAAACTGAAAGAAATTATGCTTAATAATGTACACTTACAGAGGAAAAAATTTTCTAAACATAATTATCAATAGAAGAAATAGTGAGAGAGACTAAAACTATCAATATCTAAAGGCAAAAAGTTTAAAAAAAATACATAAAAAAATCAAAGGTCCAAATGCATTGCGGTATCTTGGATTGGATCCTGGAAAATAAAAAGATATTTTAATGAAAAAAACTCATAGAAGTAGAACAAAGATTGGAGTTAATACTAGTTTGTTATTGTTAATTTCTTACCTTTGACAGATATATATGATCAGATGAAAGATTAACATTAGAGGAAACTGAGTAAAAGATATATTGGAACTCTTTGTACAATATTTTTACTTTTCTCTATATTTAAAATTATTCCAAAGCATTATTACTCAAAAACTAGAAAAAAGATCAAAGGCAAAATTCAAATATAGGTGTCAAAATAGGGAAAAAATTCTATAGAAATACAAAAAAAGGTTTATGTCTTTAATATATATATAAAAAAGCTCAAATAAGTAAGAGAAATGGAAAACCTCTACTAAGAAAATGGGTAAAAAGGGAACAATTTACATAAAAATCTTTCTGGAAAGCAATTTAGATTTAGATAATGAACATTAAAGAAAAATTATACCCTTTGTTCCAGTAATCCCACTTTTAGTAATTTACCTAAAGCAGAAGATATTGTCATATAGAAATAGAATGGTATTAATGGAAGATTTATTACTAAAAGCAAAAAATTGGGAAAAGCCCTTCCGTCTAATACTGAGAAAATACTTAGCTAAATTAAACCATACACAAATGATGCACAAGTAATGTAATAATGCAGTTATGTAGAAATTTTTTTCTCAAAGATTTTTTTAAGCTTTAATACTTAATTTTTAAAAAGGATTAAAAAATTAATATTCAGCATGATTCCAATGTAGAAAGAATAAACATATCAGAATGCTTACAGTGGTAAAGTTACTTCTGGATAGTGGAATTATGGTTCAGCGTCTTTACTGTTTTCTATAGCTGTTTTCCCCTCAGAGTAAACATGTATTGCCTGTACTCTCTAAAAATCAGAAATGCAAAAACAACCTGCAGTGCTCTCATTTTATTAGTCCTGAATTCCATCTAATGAGATTTTCTGACAACATGGAACACGACAGGTGAAACATGGACTTGAAGCACACCCACCTGGATGGGACACAGTGCCCAGGGCTCACAGGGCTGGCCCTGGGGATACTTTTTTCCCATATTTTTACTGAGGATTTGGATGGAGAAATTCTCTACCTGCAAGTGGCACTTAGGGTAAACTATTAATTATTCAAGATTGCCTTCCTATGTTGGAGGAAAAAAATCCTGTGTGCGAAGTAAAACTCAGTGGGTACCAATAAGAAGTGACAGTTCTACCGACAAAGATGAACAAAACGCACATGGGATGGAGAAGCCTGAGTGTAAATACAGTGAAGAAAAAGCCACAAAAAGGGAGAAAATGTACTTAAAAGAAGCAGAAACGGGCAACACAACATATGAATATGTTACAACACACAATGTACACATTACTTTTAAATTCGACACTAGTAAATGCTGTGTCCAGTTGGCTAGTGCACTACCGAAAGGGATTAAACTTGCCCTGTACACGGTGCGTGCTGTAGCCGAGAAGGCTGAGAAGGACCATTCTAAGGCACTATCACATATACTGTAAATTACTTTATTTCTCTGCCTCCTTTTCTTGGCTAAGGGAATTAAACCAAACATGCATCTAAATAATCCTAAAAAGATTCACAAACTTTATAATGTTTGAAAATTTGCTGACTCTAAGGTTTGATCAATTTCCTGCTGTACTAAAAATACAGTTTTGTCAAACACCATGTTAATGAAATAGAAAAACTCTAGTTTGTCTTATCAAACTTGGTCTCACACATTTTAGGCAACGTGAGCTTGGACGTGAAAATTTTTTTAGCTTTCAAAATGTCACTTCACTTTGTATCAGGCAGAGGGTAGCATGTAAAATGGTAAATATATAATATTTGTGTGACTGATTCTGAAAGTGTTGGCTGAGTCATCCCTCCCTCCTTGATAACTGCCTTTCTAAACTCTACCAATGTAACATGTTTGGCTTTTAGTAATACAATTTTCTCATCACAGGTATGGAAAAACAACAAAATAAAAGCTTCAGAATAATATGAAAAAAAAGCAGGATATTTTTCTTAGTCCTTGAATGTACTCAAACAAATAGAATTCACAGAGAACACTGACATACCACTCGGCAAAAATCTGGGAAAACTCAAGTGAGCTATTAGCCACTGGGGAGATGAAGTAGAAGGGGACACTGGAGAGTCCAGCAGAGTCAATGTATTGATACAGGCACTCGAGGAGGTCATAGATCACTCCAGAAGGGTAGCAGGGAACCAACACGTTTCCTCCATTTCGGACTGTCAGAGCTAGGAAAGTAGAAGACAGAGGAGAGGAAAAAAAAAAAAAAACACAAACAAAAACCGTATCAAAAGGCAGAATGTTGTACAAGTAGACTGTAACTTTGAAAAGAGCATTTGCATTTGTTTTTGTTTTTTCCTACTTCTGTTCTTGTAAGTGACTCACATGAATAATAACCTGCTCATCTGAAGAACAGCAGCAAAGCAAAGCAATCTCAGTGCTGACAGCTGATTTTTTCATCATAGTCTAAGCCTCTGGGAATAAAGTATACATTTAAGGGCATGTTTTTTGGTTTTTTTGGTTTGTTTGTTTGTTTTGTTTTTTAATTTTATGTATTTATCTGAGAGGCAGGGAAACAGGGACAGACAGAGAGCTTCCATTTGCTGGTTCATCCACCCTATGCTGGCAAGAGGGACTGAAGCCGGGAGCTGGGAACTTAACCCAAGTCTCCCGTGTGGGCGGCAGGGGCCCAACTACTTGAGCCATCATCTGCTTCCTCCCAGGGTGCGCAATCAGGAAGGTAGGTTTGGGAGTGGAGTCAGGACTCAGACCAAGGCACTCTGACATGAAACATGGGCATCTAAACCAGCAGGGCAAATGCCAGCCCCAAGGCTTGGGCTTTAAAGGTTACCAATAGCAGCTGAGTTTCAGGATAGAAACTCTAAGCTCCTTCTCTGATTCCTATAAGGAATCAGGCCCAATTTATTCCATTTAACTCATATCAGTGTTTTCCTTCAATAGGGTTTGTCTATAAAAACAAAAACTTCTCGGGGCCAGCATTGTGGTGTAGCAGTACTGTGGTGACACTGCCTGTGATCTCATCTGGGCACTGGTCCATGTCCTGGTTGCTCCAGTTCTGACCCAGCTCCCTGCTAATGTGCCTGGAAAAGCAGCAGCAGATGGCCCAGTGCTTAGGCCCCTGAGAGACCTGGAAGAAGCTCCTGGCTTTTGTCTGGCCTAACCCAGGCCATTGAGGCCATTTGGGGAGTGAACCATCAGACGGACGATCTCTCTCTCTCTCTCTGTCTCTCCTTCTCTGTCTGTATTTTCTTTCAAATAAATAAAATATATCTCTAAAAAAAATTCTCCATAATTTACTTTAAAAAAAGTATCTACTCATGCTTGTTTTTTGCTTAGTTTCCAAGACAAATTGATTGATGCATATGGCTATTGGATACAGAACATTAAGTCTTTAATGCCTCATATCCTTCTCTCTTCTCAAATCTGATGTATAGGTTCACCCAGATTCTATAACTTGAGTACTGGTATAATTGGTCATTATTAGAGTATGGTAAAATGGCAAAAAAATCAACTTTTGTGGTCATGGCTCAAAAGCCTAGCTTTAGTCTGCCTTGGTCCCAAGCTATAGGACTACAAGTGAGCCCTAAAAACCTTGCTGGACCTCAATTTCTCCATCATTTAAATGAGGGGAATGAATGAGATCAGTGATTCTTAATCTTTAGTTTGACTGAAAACTGTCAGGGATATGTATTTTAAAAATGCAGCTTTTCTCCTGTGTCTCTCTTCCCGAAGAGATTCTGACTTATCAGGTTTGTTGATAGGTTCCTCAAATTTGCATTTTTTTAAAAAAAGATTTATTATTTATTTGAGAGGCAGAGTTACACAGTTAAATAGAGAGGGAGAGACAAAGAGGTCTTCATTTGCTGGTTCACTCCCTAAATGGCAGCAATGGCTGGAGCCAGACCAATCGAAGCCAGGAGCTAGGAGCTTCTCCCAGGCCTTCCACGTGGGTGTTGGGGCCTAAGGACTTGGGCCATCTTCCACTGCTTTCCGAGGCCATAGCAGAAAGCTGGATCAGAAGTGGAGTACCTGGGACTTGAACCAGCACCCATATGGAAATGCCAGCACAGCAGGTGGTGTTTTATCCACTACACCACAATGCCGGCCCCCCAAATCAATTTAATAAAATCACTTTATAACAGGAAATAAAAAGTTCATGGAAAATGGAATTAAAAATACTGGCACTGTAGGCAGAAGCTTAACGTACTATGCCATAGCAGTGGCCCCTCAAATTTGAATTTTTAATAAGTAGTCGTGTTGATCTTAAAGCAAGCAGTTAGCAAACCCACTCTGAGAGACAAAGGATGCGGAATAAAGTTTCTTGAAGTTTAGAGTTCTATTCTTCCTCTATTTGTATTTCTGTCTCAAATAAATCTAAAAAAAAAAATGTTTTAAAAAGGGGGCAAGGAGTTTAGCTTACTAGGTTAAGACATTATAAGAGTACTAGGGTTTGATCCCTGGTTCTAGTTCCTTATTCCAGCTTCCTGCTAACATGGATACTGGGAGGCAGCAGTGATGACATAAGTAATTTGGCTCCTGTCACTCACATGAAAAACTGGGACTGAGTTCCCGACTCTTGGTTTCAGTCCCCTGCCTTGCGAACATGTGGAGAGTGAACCAGTGACGACAGTGCTCTCCTTCCCTCTCTCTCTTTGTGCTTCTCAATTAAAAAATGTTTTAAAAACTACACTACTTGAGTCTATGACTCTACATTATAAACAAAAGACAAACCAAAGTCTTTAGTTGAGACCAGTCCAATAATTTTTCCAAGGTAAGAATAAATCATCTTTGGTTTAAAACAGTAAAGGACAAAAACAGACTATGACTATAACATGGGTAAGTGAAATCTCAATGTAAATGTAGAAAGATGACCATTTTGTCTTTCTAGAGCACAAGTATTATCAATTAAAGTTGTCAGAGATGAAGGAGATGAGCTCATATGTGCCTGGGAAAGCAGTGGAAGATAGCCCAAGTGCTTGGGCTCCTGCACCAACATGAGAAACCAGGAAGAAGCTCTGGGCTCCTGGCTTCAGCCTGGCTCAGTGCCAGCCATTGTGAACATCTGGGGATTGAACCAGTGGATGAAAGATTTCTGTCTCTCCTCCTCTTTCATTTATTTCAAATAAATAAAAAAATCAATCTTTATAAAAAAAAAGGATTTCTCGATTTTATTGATAATTATATCCAAAGGAAAATAAATTTCCTCCAGAGAGAAAATATCTCATGCCTCTCAATTTAGTCTTACCCTCAAAGAAGAAAACATAAACCAACCAAAAATTAACGGGGAAAGGATACACTTCTTCATTGTACCACTGTTGTAAATTCAAAATATAAAATGGATGGAGGCTTAAAAGAGGCATCAGAAGATGTGAATGTGAAGGGAAGGGGCAAAGAGCATTATACAAGTAAGGAATCAAAACGTAAGTTCAAGATGTCTGTGCGAAGGGCAGACCTGAGACAGCTGCCTACCTAGGTTGCTGCAGAACTCTCCCACCATGCCATCCGGGTTTGCAGTGGGAATCTGGGTAAGCCCTGTCAGAACAAGAACATCGCTGTTTTTGAGAGAAGTTTGATCCATGGGCTGAAAAACAACAGAGAACTATGCTTAGTAATTTGAAAAGGAATTGTTATCCACCAACAGTAAATGAGCAGAATAAAGTATCACTCTTTGTGTGTCCATTCCAGCAGCAAGTTCTGTTATCCCTGCTCATGAAAAAAACCCGTCACTGAACAGCAGTTGCCAAAGGGCAGGGCAACAGGAGGAAGCACAAGAAACTCAATGGAGAGATGAATGAATTCTATACTTGAGGGTGGTGATTACATGGTATAAAAATTCATAGAATTGGAAACTGAAGATCATTATGTTTCACTATACAAACTTTAAATTAAAGCATCTCATATTTCTTTTTAAAGATTTATTTTATTTATCTGAAAGGCAGAGTTACAAAGAGAGCAAGGGAAAGAGAGAAAACATCCATCCACTGGTTCACTCCCCCGATGGCTGCAATGGCAGGGGCTGCGCCAGGTCAAAGCCAAGAGCTCCATCAGGGTCTCCCACATGGGTACAGGGACCCAAGGACTTGCGCCATCTTCCACTGCTTTCCCAGGTGCAAAAGCAGGGTGCTGGATTGGAAGCAGAGCAGCCCTTATGGGATGCCAGCATTGCAGGCAGCGGCTTAACTCCTTATGCCACAATGCTGGCCCCAGCATCTCATATTTCTATAACACACTTTACTCTCTAATGATGCCATCTCACATGGTGAGTCTCTAAACTTACCCTGTGTGAGGGTTTGTTAAACATGGATTGTTGGGCCCAATCCCAGAGTTTTCGATTCGGATCTGAGTTGGAGCTGAGAATCTACACTTCTAACAAGTTCCAAGGAGCTGCTCCTGGTGCTGCTCTGGGACTCACACTTTAAGCACTAGCACACTGCATAATTTGATTCTCAAAATAACTCTGGGAAGTACAGGAAATAAGTGTACATTACTGGGAATATGGAGCTGGGACGGAAGAGATGAGGTAATTTACACGATGTCCTAGTGGCAGAGGAGGCCGAAGAACACTGGATTAGGAATTAGAAACCTATGCCTGCTCCTAATTCCCTGACTATAGTGCAGTGATTTGCCATGGCTCTTGATTGGGTTTCTTAAGAAACAGAGCTGCCTTCACTTATTTTCCCCAGGAAACTCGTGTGAATCTCCTGAGTTGCCATCTTTGTTGTGGACTTGGAAATCCTTTAGCATAGGATGAGATGGAACTTAGGATGTTGTGTTTTGTCTTTACCCAGTACAATTTGAATTTCATTTTGATTGCTTATATACCATTTCCAAAAATTACTGTCTTTTCTAAATAAATAAGGACTCGGACTGGAACCAAGAAGGAGGTTCATAGGTTGTGATGCTGCATGTTTTCATTTGTGACACATCTTTTCCTATTCTCCACTTAAAATCCTCACTGGAATGTTAGGAGAAAAGAAGAGCTAGTAATAGAGTTTATTAGGAAGTCTCATGTCTCCTTTCTCTGAGTAAATTTCCCAGTAAAAAAAGAAAAGTCTGACTAGTATCCCAGCAAAGTCCTACCATCTGTACACTGTTATTCTCTGAGGAATGTGCCTTTCAAGGTATTTTCCCTCAGTGTTTTATACAAGCTCAGATAGATGGTCTTCATTAGTTTTTAAATAACATCATTGTGGTCACATGCTATAAGCTGTTTTATAACCTGAAAAACATTTCTTTAATGTGGGCATATAAAAGTCCAGTGTGAATATGACAACTGTATATAATACCCTTTTGCACAAACATGCACCTATACCTGTAAAAAGCTTTGTCTTGGGGCCAGCAGGTAAAGCTGCCACTGTAGAGCCAGCATCCCATATGGATGCCATTTTGAGTCCCAGCTGCTCCACTTCTGATCCAGTTCTCTGCTAACGTGCCTGGGAAAGCAGTGGAGCATGGCCCAAGTGCTTGGATCCCTGTACCCTCATGAGAGACCTGGAAGAAGCTCCTGGCTCCTGGCTTCAGCCTGGCTCTGCCTATCAAATAAATAAATCTGTCACTCAAACTATCAAATATTTATCTGAAGAAATGATCTATGGATTTGGTCTTCTCAAACAAATAGAGAAACATTCATTGTTTTCCCCGAAGGAAGGAAGGAAGGAAGGAAGGGAGGGAGGGAGGGAGGGAGGGAGGGAGGGAGGGAGGGAGGGAGGGAGGGAGGAAGGAAGGAAGGAAGAAGTAAAGTGCAAAGGATTTTTAGCAGCAGATGTGTAATGAGGCTGGAATTGTATCCTGTGTGCAGGCACCAACGAGATGAAACCAAAATGGTGACAAAAGTGACAAAGGATCATATTGGGTAACATAATTAGTTTAAAAAGCAACAATTTGATATGAACCTTGTTAGAAGAAGCCAATAATAATCCCCAGGGCTGATGGGGGACTTCAGAGTCCAGGAACCCCCTGAAATGGACTATGCAATTCTTTGTATGCCTGTGTACATTTCCCCACAGATCTTACTGGGCTTTATTATGGGCCAGGACTCCTAAAAGGTTAAGAACTACCAATCCAGATGAAAACATATAATGGGGAGCAAACTCTGGCCCTGAAAACATTATCTCTGAACCTCAGACACCAGCGTATTCTTCCTTTGAAAATTAAATGCTCACAGACTGAGGCGTACCTACAGTGTGAACATCCCGAGTAAGAGCAGTCACAAGAGGCTTCACAATCAGGTCAGCCTATAACTTAGAGACATTGTTGTCAACTCCCAGGGCGCCAGTAAAAAGCCAAGCTTAAAAGGCTGTTAGTGACACTCTCCAAACCAAGGTGACACCTCAGACATCTCCATTTCCCCACTAAAGGGCAAATGTATAAATTACTGGTGTCATAGCCACTTACTCGGTGCTTCAAATGGGAGAACTTTGTTCACATGCACATACACACAAAGCAAAATCCACCTTGTCTAATGATGAAATAAATACACCTCACTGAACTGAAAGTCACAAATGAGCTTATGGAATAAAACTGTGGAAGCCCCTAGGCCCAGGAGTGCTCTGGCTATGGTGTTGGTCCTCAGATGCTACTTTATTGAACACTTTACTTAAGGCCTGAGAAAAAGAAGTCTCTATTTCTAGAAGCTTTTACAATATAATCAAAGAGACAGCATTAATGTATAATGAAAAACAAAAATTTTTCTAAAATCCACAGAAAATCTAACACAATGTTTATGAGTTGCTCAGAGTATACATGCCAAGAGGCAAGCAGGCTAGAGAGCTGCACCAGGTCAAGTGAGGTCAGTAGCAGATGGCTTTTTGGCAGATGAAGTTTTAGTTCTTGTTTTCTTCTTTTGCTAAGAAACTTAAGATTCAATGTGAGCTACTGGAACATCTCTGTGACATCCCTTCTTTCTCCTCTACCAAAATGTCCCCTCCTGCATGTGTCCCCAGAACATCCAGTCCTTTCTAACTCGGCACTAAACACACTGAATTGTGATTGCCTATTTATTTCTCTGTGTCCCACAAAGGTCTATGGAGCTCCTTGAATGTTAGGATTTCTTTCCCGCTCTCTAGCACAATGCTTGCTTATGGCAACCCAAACACAAAGGGAAGAAATTATAATTTCATGGCAGCTGAGGAAATGGAACAAGTAGACAGCTGAGATTAGACTAGATACTTAGGACAATGGACATCGTAAGACCTTGAAGGGGGTGGCATTGTGGCACAGCAGGTTAAGTCACCACTCATGGCACAAGCATCACATAACAGAGTAAGGTTTGGAGTCCTGGCTGTTCTGCTTCCAATCCAGCTCCCCACGAATGTGCCTAGGCAAGCAGAGGAAGATGGCCCAACTAGTTGGGTCTCTGCCACCATGCAGGAGACCTGGATGGAGTTCTTGGCTCCTGGCTTTGGCTGGCCTAGCCCTGGCTTTTGTGGTCACCTGGGAGTAAACAGGCAGATGCAAGATCTCTTTGTCCCTCCCTCCCTCTCTTATACTGCCTTTCATCAACAAAAAGTACCAAGGGTAAAACTGAAACAAATGAAAAAAACCTTTAAGCAGGGGTGGGAAATTTTTTTTTCTGTGAAATGCCATTTGAGTATTTAACATCATTTGAGGGCCATACAAAATTATGAACTTAAAAAATCAGCCTGCTACAGATTTGAGTCCTGCCTGAGGTTGCCCTGGCAGGGACAGACCAAATGACTTCGCACCTTACATGGCCCACAGGCGGGATGTTCTCCAACTCTGCTAGGGGACTTCTAAATCTGAAGTCACAGATGTAGTCTAAAAGAAATGTCGAAAGTAAAATGATTTAAAAGACTAAGGAGGCAAGGAGTCCAGTGTTGCCAATTTGCAAGCAATTTGGGGATTGCTCAGTAGATTTACTCTCAAAGTAAAAGATAAAACAGTGGAAGTATGATGTATATGGGGATCTGCTGGGTACCTTCAACAAAAATAGAGATGTTATTATAGGGCAGTTATAATCAAAACAGCCTGGTACTCACATGAGAATAGATATGTGGACCAATGGAACAAATTAGAGCGCCCAGAAATCAATCCACACATCTGTAACCAACTTATCTTTGACAAAAGAGCTAAAATCACTCTGTGAGAAAAGGACAATAATCTCTTCAACAAATGGTGTTAGGAAAATTGGATCTCTGCATGCACAATTATGAAACAAGACTTCTACCTTATACCCTAAACAAAAATTGATTCACAATGGATCAGAGATCTAAATCTAAGATCTGAAACCATCGAATCACTAGGGGAAAACAATGCAAGACACTAGTATAGGCAAAGACTTACTGGATAAGACCCCAGAAGCATAGGTAATAAAGGCAAAAATAGACAAATGGAATTATATCAAGCCAAGGCGCTTCTGCCCAGCAAAAGAAACATCAACAAATAGGCAACTGACAGAATGGGAGAAAATATTTGCAAACTATATAACTGATAAAGGATTAACATCCAGGATGTATAAGAAGCTCAAGAAACCCAACAATAAAACAGTCCAGTTAAGACAAAGGACATGAACAGGCATTTTTCAAAGGATGAAATACAGATACCAAGAGATACATAAAAAGA